TTTATTCTTATACAGTCCCTCCCTCCTTTGCTGGTTTGATTTCATTTTTGAGAAGAAATCTGAAAATAAATGTTAAACTAGATCACTTGCGCAGCACTCTGTATTTTCCCTCATTAAATTCTTAATTCCCATTGACATTTTTTTCATTTATAAAAAAAAAAAGAAAATTCTCGTATATTTTACAAACATTATATTTGTTTTGAATTTAGAAAAAAATAAAAAATAAAAAAACGACATCCTGTTTGTCACTCCCACGTTGTATGTCATTGCATTTTTGTAGATTCAGTTTTATGTTATTGAAATTTCTTTATGTAAATTTAATATAAATAGCTTTTATGGTTACCATAAGGAAACAGGTAATCCCAGGTTACCAAAATATTTCTTGCATGTTTTCAGCTTTTCTTGTAAGTAAAAATGGATAAATGAATAAATAGATAAATAAATTAATTAATAAAATAAAAAGTATGCTTTCCAGACAGGGTTATCATAGCAACAGATATTTGACACTTGCTAGTGTTGGGTATTTATTTTAATAGGCAAATGAATCAATTGTTTGATTTCATAAACACGTCCGACAATAAAGCAAACATGGCTACATGCCAAAAGAATTAAGTTCCATCATTAATTAACAAAATGATCTTATTGTGATATTTTGTTTTCTTTACTGTCTTTTGTCTGTATATAAATTTTGAAGTAATATCAAAAGAAGAAATGTTTTTAAAACAGTTATTAAAAGATGGCAAAGACTGGAAAATTCAAGCTGCTTCTTAAAGCTTTTTCGCAATGTTTCCCCCCCCCTTTAATTTTCGAGTTACAATAAATAAATCAAGCAGACCGGCCTGTGTAGGGGGCAGGGAACTGTCCTTGCATCAGAAAGATTCTGTGTTCGAATCCCGGACAAGGCATGGATGTTCTTTCCTTCTCTGTACTATCTGTTCTCACTGTGAGAGCGAGGTTGGCCCACCTAATATGGTGCCCCTGAAGGAGAGGCCAACATAATCGTCCTGTATATGCCTGAATTGACGAATGTTTACACAGGTGGGCATTGGGGAAAAAAAATCAGGGCTTGTACACATCAGGAACACATTACGAAGTGGTACAAATATTAAGTACAGCCGCGATGGCTCAGGGGATGGATAGAGCATTCGTCTTCCAAAGTGGCGAACCGGGTTCAAATCCCAGTCGATGCGAATTCCGCATCCGTTTTGCATCGACCACAAGGTTGACGTGAAATATCCTTAGTGATAGGCGGATCATGAGTTATAGTCCCCTTGCCGTTAGGCTAACCGTGGGAGGTTCTCGTGGTTTTTCTCTCCATGTAATGCAAATGCGGGTTAGCTCCATCAAAAAGTCCTCCACGACGGCAAATTTTTCCCAATACTCGATCCAGGAGTTCCCTTGTCTTCTGGATTGAGTTCAAAATTACTAGGCTACGGAGTTGAACAACCTTTAGACCTTTTGATTTAATTATTTAAAAATGCTTCTTTGAAAATTCTAATAAGTTCATTCGTAGTAGCTATATGATTCCATCAAAAATAGTTGAATCTACCCTCATAACTACCAAGATTTGTTCTTTCCTAGATTGATTTTCAAAAATGGCGGAAAAAATGAGAATTGAATAAGTAGTTTCAGGCAAAAATAATTTATATAATAACAGAGCCGTACCACTGTAGGATTAGTACGCACTTATCTATGTAAGTTTAACTTATTCACAAATAGTGGTTTTTAAAATCAATCAAAATTGCATTTATAAATTCAAGAATAGAAAAAAATAATTTAATAGAATTGAATAGAAAAAAATAGGTTATGTAACCACTTTGAATATAAAATCTTGAGAAAAATGCTGAAGAATTTGATGTCTGCTTAGTAGGTAAATAGTGACATTTGTCGATTCAGAAGCCAATCAGGCTCAACACACACGCGCGACGTCACTTACTGGTATCCAATTAAATGTGATTTAAATCAGATGGTTGGCACTCTAGGTATAATCATTCACTTCTTTTAAAATTGGAATTACCCAAATGAATTTCTTAAAAGGTTTAAGTTTTCTTTTTAAAAAATCCGGAAATGTAATCTCAGTAACTCTCTAATGTCTAAAAATATGAAGTATATTTTGTGCTATGTGGATTAAAGAATAAAAAAAACTACTAAAGCATAAAATGAAACTACAGAAATGGACATACTTTAATTTCGGTTCTATTTACACTAACCTTTCGTAGTGTTCAAAACAAAAATGTCTGTTACTTATTTTGGTGTTCAGATACTAAGGAAGGTTCTTGTTTATAGTAGAACAGAAATATTCCATTTTCCATCCATTTCTGTACTTTTATTTGTTCTTTATTCACGTTTTTTTTCCAGCTTTGTAATAATTAGTATTTACTTGGTTATTTTTTTTTTATCAATATTACATTTTTTTAAAAAAAGGTGTTTTTTTAAAAAAATTATTATTGCACTATATATAAGATATTAAAGGAAGTTCTATTCAATTAATAAAACAGAACACATCAATTTGATGGTTGAAATCTGTTTATTACCGGGATTTTCTAGAGGATTTGAATGTTTGTATCTACCTTGTTATCAGTCGATACATGTAGTAACTGTACTTAGTCATTGTAGTAGCGGATTATCAATATTTCAATTTTGGGAGAATATTCTTTTTTTAAAAATAATTTAACATATATTATGTGGTAATTTAGCAATTCATTCGTAGTTTTTATGCAAAATTAAGAACCATAATATGTTAAGTATACAAGTATCTTTAAATCGATCTGAAATAATTTGATTAAATTTTTTCAAAATCTAAAGTTGTTGACTTTTTCTTCTTGGGCACTACAGCCTAAGACAGGCCAAGGCCGCCCCAATAAGTTTTCTAGTTAGTTATTCCTATTATCTTTAGATCCTTCTCAACTGCGTCCTGCCACCTAGTCGGATGGACAACCCATTTTTCTTGTACCTTCTGGTTTAAAAAAGTTGGTGACTAATAACTGAAAATATCCACTTTAAGCACAATTGTTCCATCACTATTTTTATAAAGTCAGTTTTCTCATTACTACAAAATGTTGCATATTACCCCCCACCGCAGAGAATGGGTAAAATAAAATTTGCGTATAATACTTTCCTTGTTTTAACAATTAAAAAACAGAACAGCAGATAGTCGAAGTTAAGGAAGAACATTGCATACAAAGATAAATCCTACTTTTACGCTTTATAGAGAGCGTTTGGAATGTCGATGAGAAAGATCGATCGAGGGAGGCCCCTTATTAAAAAATTGATTAATCATTTTAAATGTAAATTTAAACTATTTTGAAAAAATTATTAGCGCTTTTCCGCTTGAGGGCATAAGTAAACCTTTTTTGTTATAATAATAATATTATTATTATTACTTAAACACAATAAAAGTAATTTAAAAAATAAAATAAACAGAGAAGAAAATAGTTGAATTTTCTAATCCTCGGCTAACGAAAAAGTTCCAAAATACTTAATTGAAGATAGAATCTTTTCTAAAAATTATCGTTTGATTTTAAATATTTCAATTTAAAATATTTATTAGTTTTTATCTTAGTTAAAACAAATTTTTCACATTGCGTTTAAAAAAAATATTGGAAAGAAGACATAAATCATCTGCCAATTGTATAAAAAATTAACAGCAAAGCATTTTCTTGAATATCATTTCTTCTACTTTCTACTTCTTAACTCTTTACCATAAAGATTTTTTTTTTTAATTATTCTAAAATTGTTAAAGTTAAACTATTTAGAAGAAAACAGTGGGATATGTTGGCGGTAAGGATTAAACATTCCTTTCGTTGATGAGATATCTAATTAAAGATTGAAGGTCAACTCGCCCACTAAGAATAAGCCGGATATTTCAACCGGATGTGATGCATGCAAGTTTTTTCCGTTTTCTCTTCTTCTGGAGAAGTTTTTTATTGTCTTGTAACAAAAGAATGGATTTTTGGATGTCTTTGTGTAATGAGTCTTGTTCATCTTGTTTTAATTGGAGAAATTAATTTCTACGTATCTAAATCAAACATAAATATGCAGATTGTGATACTAATTATTTCAGAATATTAAATAAAACACTGTCAAAAGTTAAGAAACTTTATCCCATGACTCGACATATTTAGTAAAAACAAGTTTCTATTCATTTTCATGAAATAATTTTTTCTCACTATTCTTCTTTTTGATAAGGTAGCTTTAAGTTTTCTTGCATTGCTGAAAAAAATTAAGGTTCTTTTATAATTTATATATTTGATTTCTTTCCTTCTTTTTTTTTTTTTTTTTTTACAAAAATAGGTAAATAAAATAATTCTACTGTTTTGTTTTCGTTACATATGAGTAATTTTTTCCCGTACATAATTAGAATAAGAAAAAGTTTATAAAAAATTAAACCATCTGTGGTTAATTTCAATCTTTATTTAAATTTTATTATTTTTTTAAAATTTTTAAATTAAAGAGAAAAATTCTTTACTCATTAAATACGTACAATTTTCGTAAGTTCTTCTCAAATTTAAAACTATATTTTCAAATTAAAAAAAAAAAAAAAAGANTTTTGGTTGCAAACTGTCTTTAAAAAAATTAATGCAAAGACTAAACAAAATCAAATCGAAATTTTTAAATGTAAGTTCAGCTATTCTTTTTTTTTCTTCCATTCCATTATAATAATATTTGGTTTAATTTTTTTATACATAATTTTTTTCTGTTTAAAAAGTTTTGTTTTGATAAAACGATTTCTCAAAGCGAATGCGGATAACAGATAGAAAAGTATCTTATGCATGTAGTATCAGTAGATAAACGTCATAATTAAAACTTGTGCAACGTATAAAAATTCTGAACTATTCCCCTGCATAAATTAGTCCTTTTTTCTTAAAGAAAAAATTAATTTTACTATTTTCTGTTTTTGTCTCTAATATGTATTTTAGTTTCTTTTCCTGCGGAGAGTGAAAACGAACTTTTTCATTGGCTATTATCTGATGCCTATCGACCAATGAAATCGTATTTATGATTCCTTACTTTAGTTTAGTTTAGAACTCGTGTTTACCTTTGTCAGCGATAGTTTGTAATTATGTTTGCGTTTGTTTAAATTTTAGTTTTGGAGTGATGAACTATAAGATTCCTTCATTTAATTAAGTTGGTAATCATGAAAAGATATCGGTACATGCAACCTGGAGCTAAGAAAAGTAATTTTTTTCGTCGTTTACGTTTCTTTGATTCTGGGGATGAAACTGATGTAAGTAGAAATTGTTGTTTTTTGGCGCGATGTTTGATATATTGTATGCTTTTAAAAGTTGTAATACTTTATCATTTTTTTTTAGGGGAGCAAACTTGTAGAATATATCCCTTATTTTTTCGCATTTAAAAATTTCATTTTCGATCAAATATAAAGGCGCATAACAGAATAACTTAAACACTATTAATCTTTTTTTTTCTTTCGAAATTTCAATTTTTTAATCTTATCTTCCTATTTATATTAATCTATCCGCCCAAATCTAATCATAACAATTGAATAGTTTCTTTCAATTAAAATATCATTGCAGTTTATTTTTTATTTCTCTTAAGTTCTTTAAAGAGTTACCTTCCTTGTATGAATAGCTTCGTAACATCTTGTTTCTGTTATAGATAAAATAAAGTTTGCCACAAAATCCTTTTATTTATATAATAGAACTTGCTTTCTTGTACCAAAAACTAGAAGATAATTCAGAAAAAAAATCTACCTGTATTCTTTTATTTCTCAAAATTATAAAATATATTACTACTATTGTTTGGATATGTAATATTCTCTAATAAAATTTACTACAATATCATTACAATTTATTAAAAATAGAAGAGTTCATCTTTTAGTTTTTAACTCAAAAAAGCACAGGGTGGCCACAGAGTAGGGAAAAGACAAAAAAATTTTATCAATCTGGAAATGTGAATAAACTTAATTAAAAAACACCCAAAAAGTGAGGGAAAATAAGCAATTTGAGTGTGAGGGAAAGTCTGATATTTTTAACAAAATATTTGATGTAATTATTTTTGTAAATAAAAAATTTTATAATTTCATTTCTAAAAGCAAGTAGGTATAATTAGTGTTCAGTATATATTTCGTGTGCAAGAATGAGGCACTCGGAAATTAATGGAGGAACTGGGAAATTAATGAGGAACTCTGGAAGATTTCCATATCTCGATCAGTGGCGGAATAGTCACCAAGTATTAGAACTTCTGGGCAAAGGCCAGCGAGAAACTAAAAAAAAAATTTATAATAGCAGAAAGGGACTACCTTGAACTTGTAACCACCCTCAGGCAAAACTCTACAGGTTTTTTTGAAATTTTTCCTGTTTAAAATCAATTAGCTCCTTGGCGATTGTAGTTGGCATGGCATATCACAATACGTTTATATTCCACATAACTGAAAAATTATTAATATATTTCATGCCACCAGGCATGAAATTTATCAGAGAGATTTGGTAAAATCATCATACGAAAGAAAGAATTTTTTTTTTATGTGTGTTAATAGACTTATGATTAGTGCTAAGAGTGTTAGATTCTTAGTAAGTTTACACATTTAAAAAGTGTTTGTGACCAACACCATTCGTTTGAAATGTTTGATGAATTGACACTTAAAAAAGAAGGAAAATTAATGTTGACTTCTAAAGTTCAATAAATTGAGAATTCATTTTAAATGTGGTATACTCATCCTGAAGTAAGTTCTTTAAAACACATTTAAAAAGTGTTTGTGACCAACACCATTCTTTTGAAATGTTAAATGAATTGACACTTTAAAAGAGAGAAATTAATATTGACTTGAAAAGTTCAATAAGTTGAAAATTCATTTTAAGTGTGTTAAGTGTTTTAGCCTTCTTGCAGTAAGTTTTATAAAACACATTTAAAAAGTGTTATATCTCTGTAATACCACCAAAAGGAAAAATACTAGCCCCTGTCTTACCACTAGCTGACCAAAAGGAATTTATCAGCAAGTGGAATGTCATTAGTTTTCAAATTATATTTATTTGTCTATTTAGTTCATATTAAAATTTCCTAAAATTATTTATTTTAGAAAGCTGAAGATGACACTCCCCTTGATGACATACCACCAACTGACCAAAATGAAGGAACTAAAAGCTCTGAAGATGATAAAACAGGTGTTAAACGCCAGCTCAGCTTTGCTGTTTCCGAAACCTTGGGGGATGATGTCGTTTTACGAAGGTTCATGGCTACAGAAGGAATATTAAGTTTCTGGAAAAATTTCGCTTATGAGGAGTGTGTACGTTTTGTCTAAATCATTTTTAACAAATTTATAACTTTGAACATATTTAGAAAAAGAAATTAATTCATTAGTTTTATAATTGTTTCATTATTTTTTCTAAATTTCTTTCACCTTTAGTAGAATATGATGGTAGTTAGTAACATTAAAATACTAATTTTATTTAATTTTTGCATGTCTTATTTTAAAGGTGCAGAGTTCAACAAAATGTATTTGTAATTTTAGCTAATGGTTAACGTAATTATGCTTTAAACTGTGATTGTCAATTATGATAACTTATAACCATGATTACAATAATCATGAATTATGATTTATTTGCTTATGATCATATGCTAAAAGATTACGAGAAATAACTCCATCCTAAGCAGGGGTCTGTTTAGAAGAAATTTGGGTATTTTAACGGACCCTTCACAAAATATCTTTTCATAAAAACGAACCCTTCACAAAATATTTTAACTTAAAAACGGACCCTTCACAAAATGATTTTTCTTTTAATCGAACCCTTCACAAATTTGTTTATCTTCATTATTATTTTGTTAATCGAATAAACCCTTTCCAGGGCAGAAAACAAGAAAGATGGATGTAAACGAATTAAGTTTTGTCTTCGGCAGACGATTCTTCCATTATTCGTCCGAAATTAATATTCTGCGTTCAGCAGTATAGGCTAAATACCAAATATTTGTATGTTGCATCTCTAATTTAGAAGGAGCAATTGTTGTTTATTTTTTCAAATTTAATTTTTTAATTACAATTTTGCAGTGTTGAGCATAATCTTGTATGTCTATACAATTTAAAAACTCCTTTAAAAAAATTTTTTTTTGTTGCAATAACGGACCTTATTTGCACATATTCATAAAAGCGGACCCTGGTTGAAAGAATGTGAGTAATTTTTTCACAATTTCACGAAAAACGGACCTTTCACAAACTGTCTGGACAGACCCCTGCTAAGTCTGAAAGGAAGGTGTATTTTAAACGAAGTGCTATTTAAGCATTTTAAAAATGCATTTTTTAATCTGAAAAAGAATTCTTATTATTCCAAAAAATATTTTCTCAAAAATTTAATGCAGTTTTTTTTATTATAGTTTTGACGGTTTCAATTCTTTACTATTAAAGTTTAATAATACTATTTATCCAAAAATTTTATTTATTTATTTACTTTTATCTTTACTATAATAGTGGTAAAAGTAGTGATAAAACAGGGTGTGTAGCGTTTTTAAAAAGTGCTTAAAGGTGCTTATTTTCGATTTTCATTTTTTAAAAGCCCTTAAAGATGCTTTTTTCATTGGGAAGTTTTAAAATGTGCTTAATTTTCCTTTTCCAAAATTAGATTTTTCCTTTATCATGTTGATTTTTGCTAAGAATTATGCAGAAAGACGCTGTTCACTTTGTTCTATTCATTGTTTTCACAATTAATTCAACCCCAATCTATTTTGGCGTCGTCAGTCCGTAGCATATGAAAACGCCATTCGATTTACAGGATTAGAAAATTTTGACAATTGTAAAAAAGAATGACGAAAGTTTTTATTTTTTGACATGACAATTAAAACCAGATAAAACTGCCAATTGTCAAAAACTTTCCAATCCTACCTAATTGTGTTTTTTTAAGTGCTTAAAAGTATTGTTTGAGTGCTTAAAAGGTGCTTATTTTTTGTTGAATAATTTGACCTATAGTTATGGAAAATAGAAAATGTTTCTGATTGTATTTTTAATATTTGAAAAGCTACTTCATACTGCTTTGTTAGTCTTATAAAAATATTCAAACAAACCTGCCAACTCTAAGTCATTTTCTCAGACTTTTTTTTTTATTACTAAGTGTAATCACTGTCCATAATAATGACTGTGATCTGTATGTTGACCAAGTTAAAGCTGGCAATATAAACCACTTTCACGGTCATGTAATCTGTAAAGGAATGTTCAACTACTTAACAAAAATCCAGATTTAATTCTATTTTTCTTTTCCAAAACTTATTTTAAAGCAGTGGTTCCCAAAAAATGTTTTGCAGAACCTTAGGGTTCCGTGGAAGGGTCACAGGGGCTTCGAGGATTAGGACTTTTAGAGTTTTGCAACTGGTAGTTAAGTTTATAAGCAATCAATAAATCATTTATTTAATGCTTTGGTTATTTTTATAAAATGAAAGTAAACTAAAAAAAAATAATAATAATTTTAAAAAAATTTAATATATTGCTTAATTAATGAAAAATATATTCCTATATAGAAACCTGCATTAGTATTCCACATCAAACTTTTGAATTCAAAATAAAACTTAAGTCAACAATAAAAATAAAAAAATGATTCGCTATTGACCAATATCCTATGCTTATAATAGTTCATTTTTATTTTAAAAACTTAATTTTAAAATTAAATGACAGAAAATTTAAAGGTGCTAACATGATGAAAAATTTAAATATTTTCAAATAATTTGTTTTTATTTAATTTGTTCCATATTGGTAATGATCACCAGGGTTCTGCCAGGAGAAGGTCCACTATTTAGGGTTCCATTTGTCTAAAAAAATTTGGAACCACTGCTTAAGAGGATTTGTTGACTGGGCAGGTAGTTAATTATCATAGTATTTATGTTAACAGTAATTTTTTTTTTTATGAAGTAGCTAATCAATTATATAGTGCCCACCTTTTATCACAGTTATAATTATTTTTTAAATTTTAGGGTCGTCCATTTCTTAGAGCATCTCATGATGCTAATATGGAATATGTTGCCAATATATTGCACAGAGAATGGAAAATTAAGAGTCCCAGGATTGTGCTTGTTGTAGTTTCTAATGTTGCCCCTTTACATACATGGACGAATAAAAGACAACTAGAACATTTTCAAGCTGGTCTTATAAAGGTATTATCTTCTCTCTAAATTAATCCTCAAGTGAAAATTAGTTTGAAATTATAGCTCCTAATAACAAAATCTATTTCAAATCTGGAAAGCGCTTAACTTTCCAGCACCCTCGCTCAGTAATTTTGCACGAGCGTCATGGGTGAAAGCCCTTATATACCAAGACGGAAAAGAGAAAAACCNCAGCACCCTCGCTCAGTAATTTTGCACGAGCGTGCACATATTTTTTACGGCAGCTGTTACTTTATTTTTGGCATGAAAAATTACAAAAATGAAGGAATATTAATAATTTTGCCAAGAAATAATCAGATCATTCCCACTAATGGGGCAGCAGTACAGTCTGTATCTCTTAAGTATTCTTTTTAGAAAACTTATATAATTATTTGTGCACTCAAAAATTTCATCAATCTTATTTATGTCTATTATTTTTAAAAAATGATGCTATTTCATCTTTTATATCCTTGGCATGGTGCTTTAGGCCAGAAGACACTTTTGCAATATTCCTCTTTTTCGTTTATAAGCAGTTTGCATACTTTACTTTTCACCACTTAACATAAAACATATCATCACCTTTTCCTTCCCCTGAATTGTTATCATAATTACGCAAAATATATTTTTCAGGTTCAATATTTATATTATTTTTTTTCTATATCTTCTCCACTCCAATTGCTGACAATCTCAAATCCAAATATTTTCTTCCCTTTTTCTTCGTAAGACAATTCTCAAAGCTGGTAAAAATTACTGATTGTATACATTATAATTTTTTTTTGTCATGAAAACCGATATAAGAATTATTGGTTTAATTTTATACAAATTGACACAATACACGTCAGTCTTTAACGAAATTATAAAACACTTGAAGAAAAAGCAATATTTTTCGTATTTTCATCCACGACCACGTAAATTTTGAGAGCAAACACGTTGCACGAAACCTCGATTTAAAATAAGAGTTGGAAAGAGTTGAAAGGAGGAATAGAAATGACTTTGAGACATCTCAGCTGCGATATGCCAAAAAAGTCCATTAAAAACCAACTTTGCGCAGATGCTTGTGCTTGAAGGTTAACAGCTTAAGCTCAAAATTTGTCTTTAAAAATTTTATTATACCTTTAAAGTAATAAATGACAAAAAGTAATTTTATACCTTTTTTTTTAATCTAACTTCAATAAAATTTGGAAATATATTGAAATTATGAAATTAAAGTTTCAAAATGTAGAATTTACTATTCAGGTTCAGGTCAAAAAATTTATACCTTTTTTAAGGAAATTTTTTTTTTTGCCTAAACATGTACAAGTATTCAAAGATTTAGGTTGCAACTAAGTATTCAATATAAAATTTAAACAAATGATTTCTTCAATGCAAGCTAAACCTATTATTCTATTTCTATCTTTAATTTGAAAGTGTTACTTATAAGGGGCCGTTCAAAAAGTACGTACATCCCGAAGGGGGGGGGAGGGGATTTGCTATTATGTACGGTTTTGTACGATGGGGAGGGGGGGGAGGTATTATACAAAGTACGTACTTTATAAACATACACCAAATTTAAATTTGACTTTATCCTACACCCTCCTTAAGTAAATATTTAATTTTATTTAAAACATAATTATTTTTATGAAAAAGGGGGGTAGACTAATAAAATGTACGTACTCTAAGGGGGGAGTAAGACCTTATGTACGGTAATGTACAAAGGGGGGAGGGGTTTAAAATTTCTCCATTTTTGTGTACGTACTTTTTGAACGGCCCCTAACTGTACACAATTTACAGCTCTGCTGTTTAATTAATAGAAATGGGCACTGTTCGTATTACGCTAAGAAATATTTAAATTATTATAAATTGGTATAAAAATTAAATTTAGAGCAGCTTTCAAAAGCTAACTTCTTTTCTGCAGTTCACTTCCTTAAAACGTTATGTTATAGGTTTCATTTATTAAACCAGTTATGTTACTTTTGTTTTAAAACTATGAAGTGCAACATTATTGTAGATATAAATTCTTAAAGTTATTACTTTTCTTGTGAAGGCTGCTAACACCACTGAGATGTGGATTTTTACACAAGGGGTCAACATTGGAATTACTAAAGTGATTGGAGATGCGGTACACAATGAGCTTTTAAGGCGGCAGGCACTTCGCTGCCATAAACATCCAAATATGTCTGGCCCATCCTTACCACCTTTGACGCTAGTGGGTGTCACTAGAGAGGATCTCCTCACCTATGGAGATATGTTGGATGGTCGAGTAAGTATTAACAGCTTTTTTTTAAATTCAATTTTCTCCTTTGTGATTGTCGTTCAACAGACCAGTGTGGGCCAAAGTCTTCTTTACGAGAACTCTCGAGGCATCACTTCTTGATATTTTTTATTGCTCTTTATATTAAATGAGTATTTGTATAGATGCTAATACATTCTTTTTATTGATAGGTGTCAAGAGTGGAAATTGAAAATGAAGGAAACAAGCTGGAAGAAAACAAGTTTGAATTAAATCCTGACCACTCCCATTTTATTGTCGTTAGGGACAGCACAATAAATAAAACAGGAATAAATCATTTCTTAATGAAATTAGAACATTACTTAGCTTCGTCTGAATCTCTTCACTGTGATATTAATGCTTCAAGTAAAAATGATACTTGCTTCATCTTATTAATACATTTTGTTGCCTCTCATCTGAATGTGACCTTTTGTTTGATATTTTTATAATACAGTTGAACCTCGACTGATCATTTCTCATGGTACCAGTCATTGTAAATATTGAATATAAGAAAAGTTGAAACTGCATCGGAATCTACTGATATCGCTATTCATATTCACAAGATTGTAATATCAGACGTCGATTTTCATATTTACTTGATTTAAACATTTGTGACAGATTGCTGCTCATTTTCTGTAGTCTTGCATAAATGCAGAATGTTGCTCTTTGTTCTAAAGGCTTCTGTATTTGGTTACTTTCACTATCTTCATCAGTATACTTTCGAACTTTTTCGGCGTTTGCAACTGTTTCTTGAACCTATACCACTACATGATCAATTTGTGCGTAAGCATCAAACATGCGGCTTGAAGCGTTTTTCCCAAACTGTAACAAATCCTTATTTTCATCATTACCATCGGGAGTTGTTTTTCTTCTTGTCATAACAAAATAACTTCCATATTAACCATTGATCGAACTTTTGAACATTAGAGGGGGACTCTCGCTAGTTTCAAAATGATCTAAACAGTATTATTCACATTATAAAAACAGCTTTTATGGTTGGGTCATTAAAACAAAGGAAAACATACTGTAAAAAGAAAGATGCAGGAATGATGGATCTAGGTTCGACTGTATAATAAATATTGTTGATAAGAGCCTGATTTAATCTTAATTTATCTTTAATCCTTTTTTATATATCTAAACATCTATGCAAATATTAACATCTTCCTTGGCAAATATATTCAATATAAATAAACAAGTGCATCAATATTTGACTGATTATATATTTCTTTTAGTAATGAGTAATTAAATTTTTATGCAGATCTTACTGTTTTTAATTGGCTTTCAAATTTTTGTTAATATTTAACATATTCAGTGTTTTACCCTTTTTTAGAAAATGAACTTTTTAAGTTACTGAATTAAGTTCATAACCTCTTCCAAAGAGGAAGCTAAAAAGTTTAACTTCGCCTATCCTTCTTTGTCTCGACACAGTTGGGATTGTACTTAAAAATTTTGGTCTGTTTTATGCATAAGTGTGTGTAATATTTTATTTTCTACAGATTTTTCCTTTTTTTAATTTTTTAAAATAATTGCTTATTAAAATATAAAATTATTGTGATTTTATATTGTAATAAGTTTTTTTAAAATTTTTTTTATTTTTAAATGAAAGAAAAAATATTTGAATGAAAGTTTTGACGGTGTTAAAAAGTATAAAGTGTGATCAAATATGACACAAAAGAAAAGAAATTAGCACCTTCTTTAAAATTGAACTGCCTTATGGAAAGAAGGTTGAATGCTTAAAAGCATTGTCTAATGCATTCATGATTTCTACCACTTGTAGTCTCCTTAACTCTTTGAGCTTTAGTACTGCCTTTTTCTGAACTTAGCTGCTTCTAAACTTGTCCCTGTGTTATGTAATGGGAAAGTAGAGCGTAGGAAAAAAGTTTCAAAACAATTTTGCCTAGAAGTGGCTCAGGGGATAGAGCATTCACCTCCCAATGAGGTGACCCGGGTTCAATCCCAGTAATAGCTGTGTGATTCAAATTCTCACCCGGCTCGCACCATAATCCCACCACAGTGCTGACGTAAAATATCCTCAGTGGATCATGGGTTCCAGTTCCCTTGCTGTCAGGCTAACTGTGGGAGGTTCTCATGGTCTTCCTCTCCATATAAAGCAAATGTGGGCTCCATCAATAAGTACTGCACGAAGGCAAAGTTCTCCCAATATTTGATCCAGGAGTCTTTGGTTTGAGTTCAAAATTACAAGGCTGCGGAGTTGAACATTAGAAGTCGTAAAACAAAAAAATTGGGTCAGTTGTTCACCAACGGTTATAAAAAAAAAAGTCCTGTTTTGAAATTCATTGTTTTTATATGGTTACATTTTAAATTTTTTTTATTCGAAATTCTTCAATGTCAATTTAAAACAGTTTGATTTCTTTTGTTCTCTAGCACCAAGAAAACACCCTGATGTTTGCTCCTTATCCACAAATGAGATTCCTGTTGTTGCACTTTTAGTTCAGGGCGGTTTTGATTGTGCTCGATTAATTTTGGAACATTTAAAAAAGCATCTTCCTGTTGTATGTGTGCGTGGTAGTGGTGGACTTGCAGATCTCTTAGCTTACGCATACTATGAAGTCTCAGAAAGGTAAGTTGCAGAAAAATATTTCGATTGAGTTCATTTATATTATTTGTCCTATGGATGGTGTTTTCAATATAAATGTAAACAACAACAATCTTGAGCTCTTGACCTGCTCTGCTTCCAGTTAAGAAGTATATAACTGCTTACTACAGCTTATTCTGTGAGGGGATATTTTCAGATAATTTCATTTTTATTAAAATAAATAAATTATATAATTTCTGAGCTCAAATATGTTGTATTTCATAAGATATTAAGTAATTCTGGTGGGTATTAACTTAAAATTTGTTTTAGTTATTTATAGATGAATTGTTTAGAAAAAGGTGACATGGTTGCTAGATTTAGAAAGAACTCGCTTTTTTGGCAATTCTGATTTGTCCTCTTTTACTTGTTTATTACTGTTTGCTCTTGTTGCAAGTCGTGCACCATCTTACGTTAGTGTTAGCATATTGTTCAAGCAGCAAGGTTAAGTCCATTTTACAAATTACCATTTAGGTTTAAATTTTGAAGTTAGTAAATTGTTAACAAGAAAAGAAATGTTTTATAACAGTTATTTTTTTAAATGGCAATTCTTTCGTCATGAAATTACAGGTCTTATAATGACGATTCTTTTAACAATTCTTCTTTTAAACACGAATAATAAATCAGGTAATAAATACACGTATACGAGAAATTCTACTCAAGAGAGTGTCAAAACACACTGTGAGCCAAATGACTTTAAAGCACACCAAAAAAAGTAAACTGGTAGTATAGGCAGTCAAGAGCTTACAGTACTCCTTAGTGTAAAAAACACCAACCATTTCCTTAAATGATCAAATAAAACCCTCATTTTTTTGTTTCATGAATTATGCTCAACAATTTTGTTATATGAGATATATTTTAACTTTTTATCAACAGCAGTGATTTAGGAATACTTGTGCTAGTTGATTAGAAAAAATAATGATAATTTTATTTTTGTCAGATTATAATTAATTTTCTTAGAAAAATCATAATAGCTATAATAATTTATCCCAAAAATCAATTTTCATCTTCAGCATTTATAAATGAAAAGAAATATTAAGACATATATAAATATTTAATTAATTAATTATTTAATCAATTATTATTATTCAATCAATTATTATTATTTAATCAATTATTATTAATTAAATTAACATATATAAATATTTAAAAAGTATTTTTCTTATTGTTTCTTATGAAGCTAATATGAATCTGATTTAATACAAACGATGATAATATTTCATTCTGAACTAATTTGTAACTAAATCAGAATTCTCCATTATACTCATCTCTTTTAGTAAAAAAATTTTTTTGTATTTTAAAAATCAAATCTTTTAATGAAAACTCTTTTTAAAAATTAATATGCAATTACAAAGAAATTGAGTTAATCATTCTAAGTTTTCTTTATTTCAATTTGGAAACTTCAATTAAAGTTTAAAATGAGCCTAAATTTTCCTACTGTTATGAATGTTTATCATAGATTATAATTTTTTTTTATGACAGTGTGAAAGAAATGTTTTGAAAAAAAAAAAATAGGTAAAGCAGTTGTTTGTTATTGCTTTTTGTAACTGGCTTCAATTTTGTTAGAAAAATTATAAATATATTTAACCTTTTTCACGATGCTTGTTTATGAAATGACTGGATTTTATAACAACCATTATATTTAACCCTAAATTCGTAAACAATTGTCTCAAATTGTGTGAAAAATTTAGAAATACTTGTAACTTTCAAAGTGAAAGAAATCTTGAACTACCTTCCTAGATGATTAGGTGAATGTTTATGAATAATGTATCTTCCATGAATATTTATGAATCTACAAATAAATAGGAATTGTTTTATTGTCTTAATGTTTTTTATATTCAAAACTTAAATTTTATTTTAGGCCAAGAGGGATTCATGATGCTGAATACATTGAAAATTCTTTGAAACCTGCTCTATCTAGCAAAATAGCTCATCATTTCGTGCAGTTCAGAGAGAATAGCCTTGCAAGAAATATGTTTCGTGACAGAATTATGGAGTGTGTTCGATATGTTCATCAGGTACAATATACGTTCATCCACAAACTAGAATGCACTTTTTCAATGAGTAACATTGTTCATTTGCTTTCAATTGGAATGTTTCAATAATTTTTCAAACTTACTCAATCAAAAATGAATATAAAGTGAATGTAAAGTTTTTAAATTGAAGAATTTATAAACAGGTTTTGAAACAAAACAAAAAAGCAATTACATGATATAAAAACATTCTTATAACAAGAGCAGTAGTTTTATTTTTATATACACTTGTATTGCGATAGAAAAGTTATAAAACAAATTTAAAAACTTATTTTGAGTTGTGTAGGATTGTGGTAGAAACCATTTTTTTATAATTCAAATTTAGTTTTTTTTTTTTAGCAAATTGTGATTAAATAGTTAGAGTAATAATTCTCTTATATATTATATTCTCTTTTTTTCCAGAATGGGCAAGCTAACTTAACAATTATAAACCTGTACAGTCATACTTGCAATCTTGAAGATTTAGATGAACATTTATTATGTGCACTTTTTAAATGTAAGTTGTATTTATTATCCTTCTATTTGAACTGTTTATATATACACATATACAGGGTGTCCCAGACCGCCATATACAAACTTGGAACGAAAGTAAAGAACTTCCTTAGGAGCCATAATTACTTAGGAAATCGGGGGTGGAAAAGTCACCCCCACATAATAAAGAGATGCAAAGAGAGTAAGATTACAACCCAGAATGTAGTGTAAGACAGTTTATTATGCAACAAAAGAGTACAATGTATGATTTACAAGTATCAAAGGTGTTCAGAATTGGGCCCATTGACTAGTATACACGCAGGACACCTACGTTACATGGATTGGCGAATATTTCGAAGATACCTGCTGTTTCACTGATTGTAGCGGCAGCAATGGAGATTCGTATCACCAGGTGTATTTCAGAATTTATATTTATGTCATATACAATGATCTTCATGGCACCCTAAAGGCAGGGATGTAATTCTTCCGCGGATCCGCTGATTTCCGCTTTTTTCAGATTTTTCCATATCTTCCGCTCTTTTTTCATAAATTTCCGAGCGGAAAAAATTTTTATGCAGTAAATGATATTTTGTTGAAAATTTTTTTCTTCCGCGGAGCAAAAGTATTGAATCCCCCAATAAACCTTTCTTCCTTTCTTCACATGTCAATCTGCTGGCTGGGGTAAAAGTGGTTAACCTTGGTAAAACAATGCCGTCTCCTACTCCACTACTCTTATGTTTTCAGGCATGAAAGACATTTTAAAATTTCCGACCATGTTCCAAAAGCTTTTGGGGAGTCGAACGAGCGATATAGTCGGACTTGCGACTTGTTGCTTTGACAACCGCGACTTCCACTATAGATTGGAAAAAAGAAAAAAAAGTCATAAGCAGTTTCGTTTCGGCCGCTGATATTTGATTTCTTTTGATTGGCTGATTTACAGAATTTTAAATATTAGGAACTGGGCCAGAATCTGCTAAAATTGCGATTCTTATTTAGATGATTTTTATGTAAATCATCGATTTTCGTATTTAACTGATTTAAAAGTTACTTGTTGAGATTCGTTTTTACACGATTTAAAAATCATTACTCGCAATTCCCATTCACGCAATTTAAAAATTCAGTATCGCGATTTGTATTTAAGCATTTTTAAAACCCAATATTGCGATTTGTATTTAAACATTTTTAAAACCCAATATCGCGATTCATATTCCCGCTAGTTTAAAATCCAATGTCGCGATTCGTATTCATATATATTTTTAAATTTCAATATTGCTATTCGTTATCACGCGGTTGTAATATCAAACATCGATTTTCGTATTTATACGCGGTTTAAACATTACTCGTTGCGATAAGTATTCACGGACTCTAAAAATTATGCATCGTGATTCTTATTTACGCGATTCAAAAATTCAATACCGCGATTTTTATTTTCGTGCTTTTAAAATCAAATATCGTGATTCTTATTCACGTGATTTTATAATTGAATATCGTGATTCTTATTCACGCTATTTTTAAATTGAACATCGCGATTCTTATTCACGCGATTTTAAAATCAAACATTGTGGTTCTTATTCACGCGATTTTAAAATCCAACATCGTTATTCTTATTCAAGCGATTTTAAAATCCAACATCGCGATTCTTATTCATCCTATTTTAAAATCGAACATCGCGATTCTTATTCACGCAGTCTTAAAATCCAACATCGCGATTCTTAGTCACGCAACTTAAAATCCAACATCGCGATTCTTAGTCACGCAATTTTAAAATCCAACATCGCGATTTTAAAATCCGATATCGCTTTATTCACGCGATTTTAAAATTCGGCATCGCGATTCTTTTTCACGCGATTTTAAAATCAAGCATTTCGTTTCTTATTCGCGCGATTTTGAAATCCAACATCGCGATTCTTAATCTAGGGCCTCTAAAAATTGTGTGAGAAATGAGCTTTCTTGTCCTATCAACACTGATGATCAAAAGTCTGCAAAACGCAGTCCACAGATCAGTCATGTTAATAAAAGACCATGGAAAAAACAATGAACCGATGAGAAAGACCATAAAGGTCCTTTGTCCATTAAAGAAATGTTTTTTAAAATGATGCATGATAAAATGATGACATAACATCGTGCTTATGCATAATTACTCAAAGTTATCTAAATTATTAAAAAAAAATTATTTTAATCAAGATTTTATTTAAGAACATAATTACCATTTATTTATATTTATTTGAATAGATAATAATGTAATCATNCTGCTGTTTCACTGATTGTAGCGGCAGCAATGGAGATTCGTATCACCAGGTGTATTTCAGAATTTATATTTATATCATATGCAATGATCTTCATGGCACCCTAAAGGAAAATATCAAGAGGAGATAAATCAGATGATCTGGGAGGTCAAGAAACGGATCAACCGCGCCACTGAACATTTCTTGATTTGGTTGTCGCCTCGTAGGATATCTCTCATAATACAACCTAACAGCAGTGCATCCATTTACAATTGCTAGGCCATAGATGAAGTGGATGTCACCAGCTCAGTGTTTGTAAAGAGATTCATGTCTGCAATAATGAAGTCGCACATGTTGACCTTGAGAGATCGCATTCTACCCGACCTATTGATTTCCGCCCAGACTTTCCTATGTAATTATGAAGGTTCTCTAACTCCCTTTCAAGTTTGTCCTTTGGCATTCTGAGACAGCCTGTATACATATGAAGTTTTGATATTATAGACTTTTTTTTAAATTTCTTATAATGTTTTTTTACAGCTCAAAGACCTGACCAAACAAATTGGCATGCTCAGATGCAAAAAGATTTACTTTTGACTTTGGATTGGAACAGTCCACATGTAGCCATGTCAGAAGTATTCTTAAAAGACCCCTCTAGCAAATTTAAAGTAATTATGTATATATATTCATATTTGTTAAATTTGATCCTTTTTTTATACATATTATTTCTATGTTTGATTGATGAGGAAGACAAATTTTTCTTAATGTAACATTTATTGAAAGAAACAGAAATAAGGCCGCTGTGCAGAATTTGAATCGTGGAGGCAAGCAGCATTACCCACGTCACGCTACCACAGATACCCTTCATAGGGTGGCCCACATTCACACATCAAAGAACAACACACAGTAAGAAAAAAGAATGCAATGAGCGAGATTCGAACCCGCAACCATCGACTTCCCAGTCAAGGCACACTAACCGCTCGGCCACCTGGTCAGCAATGACGCAGGTGCCAATAGGTTCAGTTATGCCCACTGGGTAACCTTAAATAAGCAACACTTCCAGAGTCTTCCGAGGCAAAGAACAAGAGTTTAGTGCCTGCCGTTAAAACAAAAAGAATTTTAATCTATATAACTATCAAAATAATTCAAATATTTTAATCCTGTGTTAATTTGTAATTCAAATCATTCAAATTTTTGAGCAGTAATAAACTACAGATTTATTTATGCAAAGCTATTGCCAAAGTTATTTGTAATTGTTTGTATGTTTTATATAATAGCTTATACTATAACTTTTTTTAAAAATTTCTTTTGTTTGTCTATGTCTGTCATAGTTTGTTTTAATAATTTATGATAATATTTTCAAGAGATTTTTAAATATTTTTTAAAAAATTTTTTAAGCATTATTTTTAATAGTTCCAGAACGATTATAAGTAGTGTAGTACTAAAAATATTAATAGCATACCTGCCAACTTTTACGCATTTGGCGTAAAATTTTATTTCTATATTTAAAGTGGTAGCAGAATTTATGCTTTCTATATATTCCTTGCATTTATAAACTTAATTTATAATCTTTTTGACCACCACTATTTTTAAAAAAAAACTAAGCTTATATAGTAATATGTAATATTGTTACGGTATTCTGCATAAACCTTCCCTAAATTCAGCGTATATTTCTGCTTAATATGGTAATTTGAATTTAACTTTTCTACCACTGGGGAAAATTGTCCTCAAAAGGATTAGGTAAAAGTTGGCAGGTATGTAATAGTAATACTGTAAAAATAGTTCAAAACTATTACATACAATTGATAAAAAAAATTTAGATTTTTATGTTTAAAAGTAAATTCCTTTGTGGTATAATAGAAATTATTTTTTTTAATCAAACAATTATCTCTGCATTCTTTTTAAATCCAATTCTCTCTCTCTCTCTTTTGAAGTTCAATGAATTTATAACTTTTTGTGAGTAATTACAACATTATTTTTTGCTGGATGTTTAGCAATCTAACTAACCTAAAAAATGTAGAGAACTCTATAATTACTTAGTCAAACAAATTTTAAATACCTAAAGAAAATATAGAATTTTCTTTACTATTTTTGTTCATTCTAAATCCTTTTTTATAACCGAAGAAATTTTTCTAATTTTGTTTTTTGGCAAGAGTAACATAATTGTTTAATATTACTTTATAATTTGTATTATAATTGTAATATTACTTTATAATTGCTGATGGGGAAAAATTATTTCTATATTATAGATAAGTAGAAGTTCTTAATTACAATAATTGTTAATGGGAAAACACTATGCATATTAACTTAAATAGCTCATTATATTCTTTCCTTAATTTATGTTTTATATTTTAGTTTAGTCTCTGATTTAATATTGTTTAATATTTCACCTATTAGTAAAGTTAAGAAAATATTGTTAAAACAATGTTTCTGAAAATTTCAGCATAAAAATCTAGAAAAGTCAGAAAATCATTTACTAAATTTTGCTGTTTTGTATAGCTGATATATCCTTTAATAAAGATATTATTTTTTGGTAGGTGGATAAAATGATTTTTCAGCAAGCTTTGACTAGATCTAATCGGGAAGACTTTGTTGATTTGTTTTTGAAACAGGGCTTCCAGATACATAAGTACTTAACTCCAAAAAGATTGAGATTTCTTTTTTTAAAATCTCATAGGCAAGAGTTTTTTCGTTCTGTCTGCTGGGAAGGAGTTCTTGGACATGGATTGGTGCGTATAATTGGTGAGGGGTAAAATATTGCATTTCATTTTAACTCATTCTTTTTTAGTTTTTTACCATATACAATTAACCTGATTCACTTTAAAAATTTATATGTGGTAATAAAAAGTTTAAAATGTGTAAATCTAAAATGTTTTATTTATTTATTTTTTGTAGATATACGCACAGACACACACACATATATATATAAAGGTGTATATATATGTATGTATGTATGTAAATTTTAATTGTCTTCAACAATTAAAATTAATTCTTTCTTTTCTACTTCAAAAAAAATTATTATTGTTAATATTGAATAATTTTATTTTATATTACTTTAAAATCCATTAAAACATTATTTATATCAAGTAACATTATTCAATTAAACTTTGTATCTTTTAATATATTTAATTTAAAAACTAAAAATAAAATAATTTTTGAATGTATTTTTGAAAATAATTTCTTAAAAAAAAAAAAGGTTTTTGGATTCTATTTTCCATTTTTATTTTGAAATTTTATAACTTATAATTATTTTCAATTGTTTTAAAATAGTGAAATTCTTTAAATCGATTAACATATTATTTAACTTTATTTAGCAAAAAGTTAGTTTTTTTAAAAATGTTTTTATTAAAAATCTGAGACCAGAACTTTAAAAAAAAAAATTTGTATTTTAAATGCTAATATATACTTTTTAATCTTTAAAGTTAGTTTTATTTTAATTGTTATTTTAAAAAAAAAACTATTTATTAAAGAGACAATGAGATTCTTTCGAATTGCGATAGAATTACTGACTTTCTAAGCTTCTGTATCGGCTCTTTCAACACATTCCATGCAAGAAACTGTTGCAATAATATTTTTAAAAAAAGAAAGAAAGGAAGAAAATAATAAAGAAACATATTTTGTTCTGTTGTGTTGTAGATTAAAATTTTATTGAAGCTAACACAAAATTATCACTATAGCTAAAACATAAATTTAGTTTTTTTTAAATTATTGTAATTTGTTATAACACTGCATATCTTGATAATTATTTATATCAGTTGTAAAAAGGACGTATTTTTTTTCAAAAACTAACTGAAAATAAATTAGTTTTAATACCGCTGTTAAAATTTTAATGTTAATTATAGAAAGCTAGTAAAAATTTTTACTTGTTCCAAAATCTATAATTCTTTTTCCCGTCACAGATGTGTTAAGTTTCAGGACTCCAAATTAAATTACGGGAATGAATTTGATACTAAACCAGTATAAACTGGTTGAAGTGAATTAATAACTAACATTTATTTTTTAATGCAAACAAGTGATTATCACCCTTTGCTGCTTTGATTTCATAAATATTTTTAATGTTTTTCAGACAACCAGGATAGGAAAAAATTTCATTGAGACAGATCTGAATTTACTGATTGAGTTACTAACTGGTATTCGAAGTTTCATTCTAACTCAGGATATGTCTGTGAATGCCATGGGACTGTATGTCAGCGATCCAACGTCGGCTGAACGCAAATCGCTGAGTATTTTGATGTTGTGGGCTGTCTTTACGAATCGTTCTAAACTTGCTAAAGTCTTGTGGCGACATTCTGACCAGCCAATACACATAGCACTAATCATTTCAATGATTTATGAAAATTTAGAAGCTTATGTAGATTCTAATCTTAGGCAAGAGATTCATTCTCTTAGCAGGTATGTGTAAATAAATTGAATCATTTTCATAATATTTACATAGACACACACAGTATACTCTCAATATCTCAAAGTTGAAGGGAAGCTAAAAAAATTATATAGCAAGTTAAGAATTAAAATGTTCTAAAAAGTAGAAAAATATATTCGAAGATAATACTCTGAAATGTAGAGTAATGAAACATAAAAATAATTACTAATAAATATATATGCAATGATAATTGACAATAAGTCTAAATACAGTAGTGATAATTTTATTTTTAAAAGTAAGTTTCTATTTAACGTGTAAATAATCACATTAAATAGAAAATAATTGGTGTACAATAAACTTACATAGTGATTTTTCTGAAAAAATTGATTTTCTATTTCAAAGAATATTCAATATAACAAGGTATTCGAGATATAGAAGTTCGAGATATCCTGAGTATACTGTACATATATATACACATTTCCAATTATATTTAAATGTGTTTTTTTTTTTTTTTTAAATCCTGTTTTGTTTCTTAGTTTTGAATCTCTTATAAAAATAAAATTAATAATCACTTAACCATTTTTCTTTCCTTTTTTTCTTTTTAAATTTTTTGATTCTACCAATATAGTGTCTATTTATGGTAAATAAGTAGATTAATTAAAATTAATCTTTCTTTCTTTCTTTTTAATCTTTTCTTTTTAAACCTGGTTTGTTTGGAAGGATATATCTTCAAGATTATCAAATTGATTAATTAAAGTTCACCACTGTTTAGTTTTATTTTTGCTGCTATTTTATTGAACAAAAAAAAAAAAAATTGTTCTTGTACTATCTGATACATTTCTTTAATATTAAATTAATCGATCAACTATTATAATTATTACATAGAGTGAGATACTTTTTAAAAAGTGGAAGGGCAGTATTTAATTAGTGTTCAGAATATGAAGTTCCTTTCCAATACTGTCACGTTTGTTATAATTTTAAATAAAATTAATGCAGTAGAGCGCCGATTATCCGAACGACCAATTATCCGAACTATGTCTGAATTCGTTTTTTTTTTAAAGTTTAGAATACTTTTCAACTTATCAACAATTTTTCTAAATTTCTAAACCAGTAGATCTTCCGGCTGAAAAGAGTCAGGTTATGCAGCAGAAGAAATAGAAAAATAGAATACTGGTGTCGAAACACTGAAAACGTCCTAGGATTTCAAGTTTTAAATGATGATGAAATTGTTGCTGAAATTTTGAAAGAAAATTGGAACTCCTCAGACGAAGAGGAAGAAGTAGGTGATCAAGTTCAAGATAGTGGACCTTCTCATATAGAAGCATGCAATTCTTTCGATATTGCAATAAATTGGTTAGAACGTCAAAATGATGTTGATCCAGTTCAGTTGATTTATTTAAAAAGAATAAGGGATATGGCTGCTCAAAAAAAAGAGCATCTTCTTTGAAACAAAAGTCTTGGCTGGATTTCTTTTGCAATGGAAAACAAAGAAAAATGTGTTAAAATCAGTAATTGACAAAAAAAAAAGTTAGCTGAAATATGATTAAAAAAAAGTTCAAAATGAAAAAAAAGTAAAAAAACTAATTAAAAATATTTAAAAATTAAAAAAAAAAAACTTTTAAGCAAAGCTATTTTAGATAGTACTGCCAGTCCTAAACCTGGAAAAAGTGTGAAGGGAAGTTAGGGCATAAATAATAATCATTTAAACTAGATTTCACACAAGTTTCCAACTATCCGAACTTTTCATTAACCGAACCACGTTCGGTCCCGAGCAGTTCGGATAATCGGCGCTCTACTGTATTCTAAAACGTGTTCAAATTTTCCACAGAGAAAAAATTCTTTATTGTTCAGAAGTTAATACTAGAAATATATTTGATATTCTAGTAATAGTTTGTAATTATCTGCTTTTATTATAATTATTCTCACAGCAAACCTAGCTTTTAAGCATATTATATGAAGCACAATATGAAATGTTCAATCTCTATATAATAGTTAACATTGATATTGTTTTAAGTCTTGTTTATAGAGGAGACAACAAACTATTGTAGATTTTATTCATGAGAATAAAAGTAATTTTGAAAAATGTGCTTTTATTCTTAATTTTCTTCTTTATTCTATACTTTTATCTGTAAGAATATAAAATTTTTTTGAATTTATTTTATGAAAAAAAACTATTAAAACGCTTGCCACGGTTTGTCGTGATAGTATTTATCGCCAATGTCAACCTTCATCTATGAAAAGGTACCCCAACATAGAATTGAGTTAACATTCCTTATATACTAGTGAATTGGAATAGCATTTTTGTAGTGGTAGATACACTACACGGTTAATAAAAAGAAACCAAGCTTGACTCACATCGAGAGAAGTATTAGTACCAGACATTTTGTTGTAGCCCTACTTCATATCGCAGCTCCTTTTATTCGAAAATTATTATTTTATGATAAAATTTAACAAACCATGCTTTTATTCATCTCTCTTCATCAGTTAAGCAAGAAGTTAAAAAAAAATTAAATAAAGTTAAAAAAGCAGCAATGTCAACTTCTTTGCTTTCTAAAGAATATTTTATAAAATTGGTAGAAAATTCAAAAGATGGTGAATTTTCTGAATTAAGCAATTATTTTAGAAGGTTCAATGCTATGTAATTGGTACAAAGAAGGGTTTTATGTGAAATTGTGACTATATCATATGTAGTAGTCTATAATCATAAGTAGTGGTGAACAACATTTTAACTTTAAATAAACTTTAATATATCAACTATAAACTACTATATAACTTTTATAAAATAACTTTAAATAAAAAATTTTAAACAATAGAGTCGTACATCAAAACGTAGATAGAAACTGGCTCAAAGGGAAGTTACTTATGCTTATACCTTTTACACTTTATTTAAAAATCCTGTTTTCGTATATATTTGGTTGATTTTATTATTTCTTTGTTTCCAAAGTGAAAAAGAATTCCTTGTGTTTTCAGGGAATTTTCTGAAATGGCAACAGGTATACTAGATGCTAGCTACAAAGATTCCTCTTGTAGGGCATATGATGTCTTGAGTGAAGAAAACAAAGACTGGTCCTACAAAACTGCCGTTGATATAGCAGCAAATGCAAAGAATCGCACATTTTTGTCTCATCCATGCTGTCAGAAATGGCTTTCTACACTGTTTCTGGGAAATATTAGAGTTCGAGATGTTACATGGGGAGTCGTAACATTTCCTCAATGGTTTAAAGTGAGTTTCTCATGTTTCAATTTATTAGTCTTTATGCTTAAAGGGTGAGACCCAGAGTTTTTTTTCCCTATTTGGCATGATTTCTTACTATTTAACCTAATTGTTAAAGATAAAAATTTCAATTTTCGTTAAGAACATTTTAACATTTTATGGAATTGTTTATCTGAAGATATGAAGAAAAATTAAAAATTATTCTGTTCGATTTTAGAACAGAACATTTTAATATTTAAGAACATTTTATGGAACTGTTTATCTGAAGATATAAAGAAAATTTAAAAATTATTCTGTTCGATTTTAAAACAGAACATTTTAACATTTAAGAACATTTTAACATTTTATGGAATTGTTTATCTGTAGATATAAAGAAAAATTAAAAATTATTCTGTTCGATTTTAGAACAGAACATTTTAACATTTAAGAACATTTTAACATTTTATGGAATTGTTTATCTGAAGATATAAAGAAAAATTAAAAATTATTCTGTTCGATTTTAGAAAATAAATTTCCAAATTTTTCCTATTCCAAAGAAGAGGCTAAAACTTTTATCACCCCTTATTCTTCTTTGCTGTCTTGTACTGAACCTGGTCAGGTCTGTTCCTAATAATTTTGGTCTGGTTTATGCATAAGTATGCTCAGATATTTTTGTAAGGGGGGGCACTAGAGTTAATTATTCTGTTCTAATATTAAAAATCATGATTAAAATAAATTTTTTAATTTAGCATCAAAAATATGTGTATTAATGTTACTCTTAATGTTCAGTATTAGGTATTATGCAGTGTGCAAAATAAAAAGCAAACCAACCTGAATAACTTTTGATCTAATGTTCGGATCTTCATGTTTTCGAACTCATTCATAGTGGTTCGAGGAGGAGATCTCAAATATACTAATTAATTATTGCTGGCAATATTTTAAGTTACAAAAGTGGACACAAAAATTTGCTCTCTCAGAATAAACATACCGTTTTTTATTTTATTTTTTATGTCTGATCCAAATTTTTGAACCCCAAAATACACAAATCTAGAAAGTCAGTAGTAGAGAGAGCCATTCGAAGTTTGGATCCCTTGTAATTTTTACATCATTTTAAAGCAAGTAATTTTACCTGGCAAAAAGACAAAATTTGAGTGAAATTTGAAGTATGAAAAATTCTAATTACAGGAAATTGTTTACTTACTGCAAAAATACAATAAATTTTGGACTTTTGTAACAGTCTGTTAAAAATGTCCAAAAGTTAGAAAGTTAGTCCGGTAGTTAATATTTTCTGTGACTTTGAATGAATGCAGAAAGTTTCTCTTTGTTTCAAAGATCTCAGGGCTTTTGCAGATGTTGGGACTGGTTGTGATTTTGTTTTGCCATCTTCATTGCTATCTCTTTGCTCTTTAGCTTCTGCAACCAAATCTTGGATCGATCTAAGTTTTAACATTTTCATTAACTGATGCATAAACATCAAATGTGAAGTTTATGTACGAAGCTGTAATTAGTTTCCATTCTTTTGTTTCTTCATTATCAGGAGTTATTGTTTTTCTGCTTAAAACGAAATAATTTTTTTTTAATGTTAGTTTCAATAGATGCAGGAATCTGTTAATTTTAAAAAGAACTAAATCGGTTTTATTAACGTTATTAGAATACCATTTGTGATGGATCAATTAAAATATGATGATGCTTACAAGGAAATAAAAGATGTGGGAGTGATGGATTGATGTTTGAGTGTAGCTGATTAGGAAAAACATTGGTGTGGAGAAATGGTCCACAAATACTTGCCTAGTTATCACGTTAATTGTGATTATTAATATTATTACATAATGAGTACTAATATTGTTTGTGTTTCTTACTTAAAAAATAGAATAAATCAAATTTGAGAATACTTGATACACCAAGAAATTATTTTATAATGTATATGTGTAAGTATGAAATAATCATATTTCATACTTAGCTGGTTCGTCATGTAGCTCACAATGCTAGATTTCCCACTTTGAGGTTAAGATTATTCATAATCTTTATCTTAAGCCTTGAGGGATTCTCTAAAAAAATTTCTCTGTGGAGTTTTTTTTTTTGTGGCAAGATCTTGCCAGTTTAATACCCTAATGGTTTTAAAATCTGCATTAATGGAGTCTAGCACTTTGATTCCGCCAGATAATTTGTTCATGAGTTTTCAAAAAAAGGAGAGTTTTTATCAGATAGAGTGTTGTTAGCCATACCCTCAATCCCCAACCTGGAGAGCCAGGATGTTCCTCCTCACCTGGTGTCTGGCATCCGAACTCATCAGTATAGCCCGGTCAGTAGCTTAACTACCATCGAAAATACTTTTGAGATCGAAAATGTACAAAACTACAGCACTGCAATAAGGTGTGATTATCTTAGCTGTCACATACATTATATCTTGAGTGATAATTTGTTTTATTGTTTCTTTTCTTTATTAATTCTTTGTTTATCTTTAATTACAGTTTCAATACTGATTCAAAATATTATACAGAAGTTGTTTTTTTCTCTTTAGGTAGTTCTGTGTGCCTTTTTTGTATTTCCCATGTACATCTGGATACGGTTTAACATTGAGCCATTGCATTCCTGGGATTTACATGTAGCATCAGGTAAGAGTAGCAGTCATAAAGAGTTGTCATGAGCTCTAATTCTTTCATCATTTGTCAGTTCCTTTAGGAGTTTGGGGTTTTATTGTCAAAAACTGGATAAAACTTTCAAAAAACTAGTTTCATTATCATTTAAAACATTAATAAAAACCTTAAGTTAGTATGTAAATGCATAAAAATACATGAATGTATGCTAATATATGGTTAATGATAATTATATTAAAGTAGAAATTATAGTTTTGAGCGAAAGATTTTTTTTAGAGATTTTATCTGCTGAAAGAATTTTAGAATGCACCGAATGAAATCAAATTATAGTACAATTATTATTTTAATTTATTATAACTTTAGTTTTAGTATTATAATTTTAATTTTAGTATTATTATTTTAATTTTAGTATTTGTATTAAAAGGAAAATGCTTTGTTGTAAAATGTACTAAATCTCTCTCTGTTTTTTTCTTCCCCCCCCCCNTTCCCCCCCCCCCCCTAGAATTGAGTTACTATTGCAACTGTGAAACTGTGCAAAAAATTTTTTTTTTGAAAAAATAATTCAAAAAGCAAAAGGTTCATAATAAAAATAAAAAAGGTTCCTCTAGTAATTAAACATTTGAACTGAAAGTTTCTTATTAATTTGTTTTATGTATGAGAATGATGACATTAATAATAAGTAGAATGATTGAAGTTCTTTTTCAATTATTAGAATGCGTTCTTTAATACTAGCTTTAAAGAACATAAGTTATGTAGAACTAATAGATCTTTTTCTGACATATAGGGGTCTAAATTTAAATATGTATTTATGGAATAACAGTAGTTTTATTTCAAGTAGTTTCAATATTTACTTATTTTTGTATTTAATAAATTGAAATATTGGTCTGAAATTTTTATCAATGCAGCATTATTAATATTACAGGTATGTATCTATGTTTTTTATTTTCAAAAAGTATTACTATGTTGATTTAGTTATCTTTTCTTTTTTAATAAAATTTTATACAGTTTGTATTTTCTTATTTTACAAAAGTATATGTATATTTACTAAACATAAACTTGGGAAAATTGACTTTGGAATTCTTTGAAACAAATCAATTGAATTTTATTAAAAAAAAGAACATTAATATTTTTCTAAAAATATACTGATTTATAGCTCCTTGTCAAAAGTTTACTATAATGTTTAATATTTCTACTATTTTAATTGTTTGAAACATGCCTATTGAATTTTATATTAAAAAAAAACGATTAATATTTTTCAAATAATTTACTGATTTATAACCTTGTCAAAAATTTATAGTAAAGTTTAATATTTATACTATTTTTTTCTATTTTACATTGTAAAAATTGTATCTCAGAATTTATTTAAATAATCCCGATATAAAACTATATTCTTTGAAAAATCTGAACTTTTTATCTTTTTTCGGAGGCAAATGACAATTTCATTTGCATAATATTTTGTTATAGTAATATGTATAAACACTTTGATAATTGCTATTGCTATTACATTTTAATTTAGACTTTATTATAACAGATGGGTAAACTCCAATCTCAAGTGGTTTTTTCATAATTTCTGCTCATTTTAGTTTTAGACACACTTTTTTTCAATTTGTGCATGATTCTTTGTTTATACTGATGCTTTTACAATGAAGTTATGAATTTATATTATTTATTTGCATTGGTCTAAATGAATGTTTAATACTTAGGTAAATTTAAAAATATTTAATTGTTTAACTTTATGCAACAAAGTATTTGCTAATATTTTATTGCTTAGGAATAACATTACAGCTCCAAATGCTCCGTGTTATGTAACTGACCCATTGTTTTTTTGTGTGTGTTCTTTATATGGAACCAAATCAGACACAATTGGGTAAAGAGGTTAGAACAAAAGTGTAAATAAATACATGGCATAAATAGTGCATTTTATTCATAAAAACCTGAGTTATTGATGAACTATTAGTCTGATAGACCCATGTTTTGTCTCATTCCATTCAACTTGAAAATGTATAGGAAACAATACTTCCCTTCTGCATATAGCAGTTTCCGTTTCGTAAGTGAATGCAAGAGAAATATTGTGCTTTTTTAACACAAAACCATTTTAAATTAGTCCTCATAGCTCTGTTTCCTCACAGAAGCTGTATGTTTGTACTAATAGTCCTTTTATCTCGTATATGGTCTCATTGGATTCAGAGTGAAATGCATATCTGTGGCCTAACTACCACTATGATTATTAAACATCAATTCACTAGTATATAAGACATGCTCACTCGATTCAATCTTGAGGTATCTTTTGATAGATGAAAGTTGGCATTGTCTAACGGTCTCTCCCCACATTGGTGACCTGCAGACGCGATATGATCGCGACTACTTTGATGTATGGTCCACATTGAATAGTTTACTTGCTATTTATGACTGTGATTGTCTTCCTCACGCTGTTGCTTCTCAATCTCATTTACACTCAACGAGAACCTGTACACTCTCGACTGCTAATAGCAACGCAGGAGAGTCCTCAAGCACAACCATGAACTTAATACAGCTCTCATGACTAAAGCTCCAGCTCTCCCGGTTTTTCGCAAATACAGCAACTAGTGGTATCCGTTCATCGAATTCTAACCATGATAAAATTCTGTTGAGGGAGTATTGTGGTGTAACATGGTGCGTAGCGTTTTTAAAAAGTGCTTATTTTCGAGTTTCGTTTTTTAAAAGCCATTGACGGTGCTTTTTTCATGGGGTGTTTTTCAAAAGTGCTTAATTTTCCCTATTCGAAAATAATATATTTTTCTTTACTTTGTCTATTTTCGCCACGTATTATGCAGAAGCATGCTTTTTAATTGTTGTATTCAACATTTTCACAATTCATTCAATCGTAATCTATTTCGGCGTCCCGTCGGTCCATAGCGTAGGAAAGCGCCAATCATTTTACATGTTTGATGTAATACTTTCAGGTCCGCGTGTGCGTCTGCCGAGCTGGGTTCGATGAGATTCTTGCCCTCTCCTGTGTAACTCTGCTGCATTTTGCAAGATATTCTTAATTTCAGGCTTCATTTTCCCCTGTCTGATATTGAACCTAAAAACCTCTTCATCTTTTTATAATAGCAAATATAATCAAGAAAAGAGTTCTTTATCAGAAACTGGCTATTTTATCATGATCATGTAAAGTCTTTGAAAATTATTTTGCATTTTGTTAATGTATATAGTGCTTTAAAATATTTTTGAGTGATTAAAATGTACTTAAAAGATGCTTATTTTTTGTTGAAAGATTTGGCTGCACGCCCTGTGTAACTACCACTACAATTATTAAACATCAATTCACTAGTATATAAGACGTGCTACCTCGATTCAATCTTGAGCTACCTTTTGATATATGAATGTTGGCGTAACATCTTCCCCCATATATCTATATATCGTAGACAATACTTTGCATGCCAGTATAAAGGCTGTTTAATCTTTCCTCCCACAGGGTTGCCACTCCACATCGAGATCAGGGAAAATCTGTAAAATACAGGAAATTTAAAAATAATCTAAAGTAATGGGGAAAATGCAGGGAATTTTGAATTTTTTTTTTCAAACTGTGAAAATACAGGGAATTTTATTTCTTATTTTTGTCTTTTCAAAAATGCCAACCTCTCAAAACTCAATCTATGCGATATATTTAAAAATGATAGTTCAGCTGTACTACATTGTTTCATTTACTATAGCATTACTTGTGTTAAGTATGTTGAGCTATTTTTTATTTTTTTAAAGTTTTTTTCGACAGTTAAAACTAGTATTGTTGTCCTGGAGCAGGGGTGGTGAACCTTTTTGCACCAACGTGCCATTTTTTCTAATAAATTTTTTAATGAGGTCATAGACGTGCCATCAAATAATTTTGACTTCGTGATTTTTGGGAAAGTAATAATACTGAATACTATCAACTCAAAACTCTTTCTATACTATGGAGACAAAAATCATTTTGCAATGTCTCAGTTATACACATAATTCAACTTAAAGTAACATCAGTGTGACTTCTGTTGTTGCAAATCAGATGTCAAATAACTTATATTAGATTGCATGTTAGTTTAAGCAGGACTGTTAATTTTTTTTGCTAGTTATTTATTGTTAGCTTGTTTTTATGGTTATAAATAGTTTTTTTTTTTTGGCATTAATTGTTAATTTTTTTGTCAAATGTTTTTTCTTTTTTTTGAATTTTAATTTAAGTGCTTCATAGTGAACTTTGCGATGGGTGGCGTGCCCAAAATATTGTATTGCGTGTCATAAATGGCACGCGTGTCATTGGTTCCCCATCCCTGTCCTAGGGTTTTCACAACTGTGCAGTGAATTGTTTTTCCAGATGTGAGTGACAACCATCTTCCGAATCAACTCCATCATCCTCAAATAATTTTAGAATGTACTGAATGAAATCAAATTATAGTGCCATTATTATTTTAATTTTAGTATTATTATTGAAATGTAAATGCTTTGTTATAAGTAATTCCAGATCTTTTTTCCTCTTGGAATTGTTTTTAAAAATTTTTAGAGTTTATCCTACAACTGCAGAAAATCCAAATTATAACATTGGAATAATATCAAGACAAAATTGTTTAAGAAAAAAAATTAATTTGAAAAAAAAAAAATTCAAAAAGCAAAAGGTTACAAGCAATAAAAATAAAACAACCCTCTTCGAATCATCCCTCCCCCAAAGAAAAAGAAAGTGTACAGTGAGTATCAAAGAAGGAGTTTTTAGATATATCAGGACATAAAAAAACCTTCTATTAAAAAAAGAAAACCTTGTATTATTTTTTCTGAAGAAAACATTTGAAGAATTGAAATTTATTAGACTGTTTAATTATTTTACTTAAAAAATAATTAGCTCTCGGGCTACAAGAAGCAGCTTTATAATTTTATAATTATAAAACAAAAATTTTTTATTACATTTAAACACTGCCGTGATTTAATAGTATTTTCTTTTCCCATATTGAAGTGAAGGCGAAAAACAATATATAGTGAATAATAAACCTGTACAAACAAATTATTTCAACAGTCAAATTTAATTTTTAGAAAAAAATTTCCCACTTTCATTATATGAGGTTTTTAGATAATTCTATATTGATGTTATTGAGAAAAATTCTTTTGTTAATTAATCAAAGTCTCATACATTTTTTAATTTGCAATATAAAATTAGTCATATTCCAAAAAATTGCACTTTGCTTTAGCAACTGGACTTTAGTATTAGATGTCTGGTACTTAGCTACTTAATATTTTGTGTAAAAATTAATTAAAAGCAGTTGGTTACGAGATAAATTGTGGTATTCCTGATAAAAAATGCAGAAAAAATTTACAAAATAAATTTTTTGAATGTTCTTTATTTTGTGAAGCAATCTTGGGACCAGGTTTCTAAAATTACACTTGAGATCTTCCTTCTGAAAACAAGTTTTTCAAGCACACAAGTGAAACTAACTAGTGCATTTGCGATTTTTTGTATTTTGAGCTGCTGAGTTAACAGTAAAGGATTTCTAAGTATAAAATATTTATTAAAGCTATTTCATAAGATGAGGGCAATTTTTTTTTACTCCAAAATTACAAAATTTACAAATAAAATCTTTGGGCTAAAGGAATTTGTTAAATAAAGGTTTGGCTGTAAATATCTTTTCACAATTTATTGAACATATTTTTTTTATTATTTTTAGAAGGTGACTCTGATGAAGATCATGATGAAAGAGATGGAGAGGAAGAAGTATTGATCGATTCTAATCAAGGAAAAGATGATTTTCTTCGGTAACTTTTATTTGAATCCATCCAAATTTTTAAAAAAAGTAAATGAAGTATTTAATTTTAGATATTAGTCATATATAGAAATTTCCTGTATTTATCTAGACCTCGGCCAAGTGTTGTTGTTCTGAAAAATCCAGAAAAAGGTCCCTTTGATTTCACCGGTGGTCTTCATCATGAACAAGTGGCCACATTGCTTCGAGAAAAAGAAGTCTTCATTCGTTCTCCACTTAGTATTTGGAAAATGATATTCCTCATGTGGAGTGCACCTATCACTAAGTTTTGGACATTTCAGGTAATTTTTAGACAGTTCTCATTATTTGAAATATTATGGTGAGTTATTTTTAAATACCTGTACACAAGAATACATACCATTAGAAACTTGACATTATATGTATTTCAACATTTTAAAATTTATTTTGTCAGATAAAATTGCAAATCGATTTGTTACAAAAATCCTTTATAGTTTTCTCATTAAGTCAGCTCACAAAGTTATAAGTCATTTTTTAAAGTTATTTTATAAATTCAGCAAACTATAATGCATAGCATTAGAATAACATTCAATAACACTTTTAGGCTATTAAAAAATTTTTATGAAATCAAAAATTTTTTTTTTTTTTAAGGAAAATTTAAATAAATTTTTTCATTTAAAGCAGGCTTCTTTTTTTTACATTTACTAAATAAAGCTGTAATGAAATAGATTAATAATGCTAATATTGTTAGTTAAAAATTATTATATAACTTTTATAAACTAATCCCTAATAAATAAAATCATAGTACTTTTTATTCAAGTTTATGATCCTCTCAAATAAGTTAAACAAAGGCTCAATTGGTTATTATATTTAAATATCAAATGAAAAATAAATTAATTTAGATCAGAAAACATAGCAAGAAAATTAATCTAATTTATTGTTTTTGAAACAAGTTCTCCCTCATTATTTGTATACACTACATGTTTAAAGTACTTGTATTGTAGCAAATATAAAGCTAAATGGATATAATTCCAATGTTTTTATAAAAAGCTAATTATTTTATATTCAGCTAATAAAAAATTTAAAAATTTCACACTCTTTTTTATTCAGTTTTAAGTTTTTTATTCTGAATTATGTTTTGAACGTGTAAAAATAATTCATTTGCAATATTCCATCTCATTATTTCCCAGGAAAAAATCTTCAATATAAATAAAATCGGACTTAAAAAAAGTTTTAGCATTAAAAAATGTATACAAAATATTTTTGACTTAAATCAATTATTTTTTTTAAAGGGGATTTTATCCGTGGATTTAAATCAAATTAACAATAGTAGTAAACTTGACAGATTTAACTGGAATAGAAATTTATTCATTACAGTTGTATCTGAATTTTAAATATGCATATTGTTGAGATGCTCTTCTAAACATCCTTGCTGTATAACTTCAATTTTTTTTTATACAATGTTATGCTTTTATTATAATACGATTTTAAAAAAAAATTTCCAGATATTTTACATGATATATTTGGGATTTTTTTAGCATGACTGTTTTGTGGCCATCTTGTGGAAATAAAGATCTAGACATTATTGTGTCTTCATGGACAACTCTGATATTAATAGAATACATAAGACATACTTAAAGAGATGCTTTACTAATAATTCTTGCCGTTTAACTTCAATTTATTTATGATATTTTATGCTTTGATTATATTATGAGTTAAAATTTTTTGTTTCCAGATATTTTACATGATATATCTGGGGTTTTTCAGTATGGCTGTTTTGTGGCCATCTTGTGGAAATAAAGATCTAGATTATTGTGTCTTCATGGACAACTCTGATATTAATAGAATACATAAGACATACTTAAAGAGATGCTTTACTAATAATTCTTGCCGTTTAACTTCAATTTATTTATGATATTTTATGCTTTGATTATATTATGAGTTAAAATTTTTTCTTTCCAGATATTTTACATGATATATCTGGGGTTTTTCAGTATGGCTGTTTTGTGGCCATCTTGTGGAAATAAAGAGCTAGACATTATTGTGTGTTCATGGACAACTCTCATACTAATAGAATACATTAGACGTACTTATATTTTATACAAAGTAAGTGATACTTTATTCTGATTTGTTCAATTCCATTAAAAGAATGAAATGTTTCAATTCTTATTGTATATCCCATTAAAAAAGTTATTTTAAAGTATGTTTTTATATTTCAATTTTGTTACCTCTGGCTAGGTGATGAAAGTTACTCACACTAGGGTATAAGAACTTAATAAAAAAGAAAGAAAAATCTTGTAATATTTATACAGTAGGGAACCGATTATCCGGAACGATCGGGACCATCGCTATTCCGGATAACTGATTTTTCCGGTTTTCAGAAGCGCTACAAAAAGCCGTTTTTTTATTGTTAAACCCAACTAAAAAAGAAAAATATTTGGAAATAATCTTAAAAAGAGGAAAAAACGATGAAGTAATACACTAATGATTGTTTCCAAAATGATGGTGAGGTAAACATCTTTTAAAAAAGAAAGAAGAATCCTAAAATCTTATGAGGAAGATAAAAAAAAATTTTAAAAAAATGGCGGGAAAATTTATCGAATTTCGTTCCGGTTTTTTGGTTTTCCGGTTTTCTGATTACCGGATAACTGATTCTGTACTGTATTATCATATTTTAGGAGTATAATTGACCTTTAAGAGGGCTTCACCTGTCGAAGGGGTGGAGATGGATAGATTAGATGAGGGAGATTAGCATAATACTGCTAAAATAAATGATCCTTTTAAAAATTATGTAGTTGAGTGACATTAGCAGTGTTTACATCGTTTTGCTCACTACCTTTGTCCTATTTTTTTCTGTCCATTGGGTGCTGTTTTTTTTGTTATGCTTATATATATATTTTTTTTTTTGCGTTATTGAACTGAGTGTTTTAAGTGGATAGTAATTTATTATTTCTTCTTTTTCAGAAATATACAAGCGTGCCTTTGTTTTACAAGTGTATAGAAATACTTCTAATAATCGTGTTCATCATTTTATATGTGCTTGGGAGAATTTTAAATGTAGGTGATATTTTTACGCCCTATACAGGAAAGGTGATTTTGTGCATTGGATTGCTGTATTTTTTCTACAGGCTTATAGCCATATATCTTCCTATATCTCCTACACTTGGACCTCTCCTATATCGAGTTCGTTTAATGGTAAGAGTTTTATTTTAAGCTTAATTTCACTATATTTCTTAACTTAATGCTACTTTTTTTATGTTAGTACCACATCTTGGTATGTTTATAAATGGGTATAATAAATATAAATACTTAACATTTTGTTTTAGCATTTATAGTATTAGTTAAGTTTATGAAAAAAAAATTTTTAATCCATTTTATCAATATAAATTTTTAGGCATTATATTTTACATATTTTATATTAATATAAAATATGTAAAATATAATACATGCTGGGTTGCATATGAAATAGTAAAACTAAGTTTTAGTACTAATGGTTTAATTATAAATAAAGCATTAACCACTTTTTTTCTTTTCTTTTAATGTAATAGAGCTTTAAGTTTGGTAATATCAGATATATTGTAGTTATCCTGAAATTTCTGATTTTTCAGTTGAAAAATATTTTTTCATTATTTGTCTTTTATTTCTAGCTTTTTGACCTGATGTTTCTGATTTATGTGTTTTCAGAACATCCCATTCTCTACTAATACTAATGCAGTTCTTAAAATAATCTGTTTTAATTATCAAAATATTTGGATTTTGATGTTTATTTTAAACGATAGCTCATCTAGAAAAATATTTTGAATACAAATGTTAAGACGTGTATTTACTGTGTTTTCATTTCAAAATTATGTTATGAGTTGTTCAGTGCTCTATATAAAATTCTATTGGAAAAAATTAAAAAAAAATTTTTTCAGAACTCTGGAGTTAAAAATAGTATATGTATGCTGTACCAATAAATGTTCCTTTTTTAAAAAACTAAATAAATAAAATAAAAGAAGTATATGCAATATTAAACAAAATGAAAAAATTGAATTCTGAACATTTTCTGTTAGAATTGTTTTTTTTTTCCAATACGAAAAATGCTTTTTGAATATTACAAAACATATTGAATATTTTGAATATTGAAAAACAACATAATACATTACAAATTTGTTTACCTTCACTGTTTTTCATGTGATTACTTAGTCTCATTTCCTGGAAAATTTGATTAGTTCTCTTTTTTTTCAATTTGAGCTAAATTACTAAACATGTACACCTGATACATATTTCAAATTTGTTAATTAGAGATGTATCAGATGCTTAATTTATACTAAATAAACCATGTAAATAACTTTACATAGTTTCCAGCTTACAATTTTATTTTCCCACAATAACAAGCATAATAAATTTTTTTAAGAGTAAAAGAATCGCATCTAGATATTGGGCCGCACATTGAAAGATAACTAGTTTTTATTTGTGAAGGGATTTATTACTTTTTCTTCTTTTGCTTGATTAATTTTCTTTTCCTAGTTGGTTCCAAAAAGAAATGTTTAAAATCGTTTTTCCATTTTAGGTGTTTGTTGACTTTGTTAATTTTATGAGAATGACCTTATTAGTGATTATCAGTGGTGGCATCGTCATTCAAGCAGTTTTGTATCCTGATTACCCCCTTTCGATTGAGCTGTTCAGGAAAGCTTTTCACAGGGCATGGTTTTCACTTTTCTTGACTCCCATTGGAGAGTTGGAAGGTATATTTTTAAAAACAAATTATCAATTATTTTATGATTTATTTAAGAGTCACATAAACTTAACCCTTTTCATATTTGTTTCAGGTGAAGATAGGTGTAATGCCACTAAAATGCATTCCGAAGAGTATTGCATTATCGGAAAGTGTGAGTGTTTAATACATTAGTGTGGTAAATTAAGATAAGGATAATTAAATATCAGACTCAATTTAACCTTTCCCTTATGGCTGCTATAACTTATGGACCAGAATAGCAAGCTTCATCATACTAAGTGCTGTAAGCAAAGGGTTAACTGAGATACAATTATTAAACAATTTGTGTAAAATATATACATTTTTTGTTATTGTCGTAGGCCTTTAAGGTAAGGTGCGCAATTGTTCTGGTTTTCCTTAAGCGCCATCTATGGCCAAGAATTCGACTTCTGCTACCCCAGACATCATACCCGTTTATAGCATGAACCCATTTCTTTATTCGCAGATCATAATTTTGACCTAAACCAGAGAACAATCAATCTCCGATTCAGTACCCCCAGAGGTATAATTTGTTGTGGCAACATGAGTACTTTGTGACCCGATAGATTTAATGTACATCAGTCTCCATTTACTACATGAGTCTTCGGCAGGCTGGATTTGAATTCCTATTCTCGCGAATGTGAGTCTAGCGCATTGCCAACCAGGCTATCCCAACATATACATTTAAAAAATGCATTTAGATTTAAATAACATCTCTTATCCAGACGTCTGTTTGTCAGAATAGTCTCTTTTTCGAACACTTTTTAGCAAACAAAAAAGACTCTTTTCTTTTAATTTTTTATATTTGCATTCTGTTAAAAAATGTGTAAGGGTGTTAATCCTCCACTTTTACACTTCTTTATAATTTTTACTCGACTTTCAATTTTAATCTAATTTCCGCTCTATTATGAAAAGAGGAAAATTCCGTATTTGTCGTAGAACTGGATGCCATTTTCAACAAAAAATTTAACACTTTGAACATAAACCTTTATCCTTTGAAACCTTCAGTAAAGTGCTGCCATCCATTGTACTAAATTGCATCTTAATTAACTTTTTTACCCAGATAGATTTGGGTTTGATAAAGAGATGAAGCCGAAATAAAGTTCTCCCAATATATATTCGGGTACAACAATGGGATTTATACTTAAAAAAAAATTACGCTGAGTAATACTCGTGTCAGAGATTTTGAAACACCAATACTGTGCTCGAGATTATTTGGACATGACAGTTAAAAGGTTAGACTTTTTATCCAGAAAAATATATTTCCTGAACTTGCTGAAATCCTGACAATTTGGGATACAGGGCTTTCCACTGTAGTGTAACTTTTAATAGTAATAAAAGATTAAAAATGTTTGGTAAACATTTTTCCATTCCTCTGTTTCAAAGTTGAAAATAGATGATAGATTTTATGCTTTGCAATATTTATTGAAAGAAAAGCAATTTATTTTGGTTAAGTGTATTTATTTTTCTTTTGGTTAAGTGTATTACATATATTTTATGGTAAATTTATTTATAAAATTTTTTTATTAAAATTCTTTTCCAACTGCAAATGAATATTAAATACTTGTCCTCCTCTTGTATATTATTACATATAACACTAATCAATTATAACTTTTAATACTTTGAATCCAAAATATTCTACAATTAACTGATTAGATGTTTTACATTTATAAATGGAAATATTTGGCAGTTCTGAGTAAAGAAGAATTCAAACTTTTTGCCGTTGTAAATTATTTAAATGTTGATAAGATTTTTTAAAAATTATAAGATTTTTCACACTTATAAAATTTAATGCATGATTTATTATTTTCGTGTTTAGTAAATGTTGAAGCAAGTTGAATAAGAGAAAATTTACAAACACAAAAAGTTTTCCAAACATTTTTTTAAACTGTTATAAATTTATTTAATTAATATAAAACATTACTTGATTGACAATATTTTGATTACGAACATTAACATTTACAAAATTTAATATATAATTTAATTTTTATTATTTTAAATAATTAGTTTCGAAAAATAAAATTTTAAGCAGTAAAATTACAGTCAGAAAAAGTTATAAGAAATACTTTCTAATGATAAAAATTTATGAAAACTGTTTGATAATATTAATTCTGTTATAACTATTAATATTATCAAAACATTATTATAAAGCATGTTTCTATTTTTGATATTCATTTATTTAACTAAAGAGAACATTTTCTTTTTTAGTCTCCGATTATACTTGTCCTAACACTGGACTATGGCCTTATCTCTTCTCCATTCAATACTTTGTGTTTCTCAAACTTATCCTGCTAACCTTGCTTTATGCTTTATTCAGGTAATACATTATGAGAATAACTTTATGCGCTTTGTTGCAAACAGTAATTATCATCTCCATAACTTTTGTTATATTTGTCTAGTGCTACTGCCTCTAAATTACAATCTGAAACTGATGCCATATGGAAATTCCAGCGTTACCAGCTAGTTGTTGATTTTGCCAATCGCCTTCGTCTGCCGCCACCACTTAGCATTTTCAGCTACGTAATTACTGTTTTCACGTGGTTATACAAGTGTTTTTTATGCAGATTCTGCAGAAGTCGAGATGAAATTGTGAGTTAAAACCATGAAACAATTATATACTGTGGTTTATTATTAAAAATAATACATTTTTTAAAAAAAAAACTTTATTGTAATTAAAGTAAATATTTAGTATAAAGGAATTATTATCCATGTGTTAGTTTGTTTAGTTCCCTTCACCAAGTGACTATGACCAAGTACAGTGACTTCACCAAGTCAACTATGTCATTTTAATTGAAAGAATTATTACTAATTTTAAACAAAAATAATACATTAGTTTTGGGATAACCAATTTCTATCAAAACAAAAGATCTTATCCAATGGATTAGCTGCCATATCTTCCGAAAGGATCGAGAGATTCTTTAATTTTAGGAAAATCTCCAGGACTCCCGAAAAATATTCGTATTTTTAGAAACTTCAAAATATCAAGCATTTTTAAATTTTGGATACTGTGGTTAATTATTAGAAATATATTGTGATATCTGCAAAATATACTGCGATGTATTTCTTCTAATAAATTGTTGTAATTAATTTTAGGATAAAAATGCATTTTTTGATTCATCAAAAGGCCGTTTATCAGAAAGAGATTATAATTATTGGCGTCAGTTGGCTCAGGAATATTCAAAGCAAAAAAGTGAAGAAGAAATTGAAAAGCAAATAACAAAGAAGCAAATGGATATGTATGTAAAATATGTTCAGTATTTTACTACCATTCTCTCAGTATTTATTACAGGCTTCATAGTTGTCCTGATTTTTAGTCCCTGATATGCCTAGTTTTTGTGTGTGTCCCTAATTTTTGTAAATACTAATGTGGACTTCTAAGAAATCTATTTAGGGGAGTTAAAATTTTTGTTCTTACATTTTTCATTTTAAATTAATTATGCTTTTACAAATGGCAGAATTTGATGGTTCAAACTTAACGACCATCCACTAATTATATACATGATTCAGACATTTACAGCAGGATTCATTGATTCATCCTTCTTTGGAATTCAGTCATTTTATAAAAATAAATAAATAAAACTTAATCAAGAATTTTTATGGGGATAAATTTAAGGGGCCATATGCTTTTTTTTGTGTTTTTTTTTCCATCAACTGCGGTAACAGGTCTTGTAAGGTGAAATTATTTAGTTTCACAATTATTGATTCATCTCTTTCATCTGATTTTTAAGGGTGATCTTTTCCTATCAGCAGTACAGCAATCTTTCAGAGATTGAATTTGAATTAAAAGATTATCCACTGAATCACTTTTGTAATAAGTTTTCTATTTATAGATCTTAAATTATTACAAATCACTGTATTTGGTTAGTAAAATTATGCTGAAAACTATTAAAATGTTCTGTTCTAAACAAAGTAGTAATTCTAAAATTAAAAGTAATTTATTTTGTGCCCTCCCCCCCACAAAACAAATTACTTTTAATTTTAGAATTGCTACTTTGCTTAAAACAGAGCATTTTAATAGTTTTCAGCATAATTTTACTAACCAAATACAGTGATTTGGAATTTAAGTTTTACAGTTTAAAAATTAAGTTTTGAATTATGCACAAAAAAAAAACAATTCACATTGTTCTATTCAGCGTTTTCACAATTAATTCAACCCCAATCTATTTTGGCATATTGTCAGTCCATAGCGTATGAAAACACCATTCATTTTACATGATTCGAAATTTCATAATTTTTGACAATTGTCAAAAACAATGCCAAAATTTCTTTTTTTGACATGACGGTTAAAACAAGATAAAACCGTCAATTGTAAAAAACTTTCCAATCCTGCCTAATTCTGGTATTTTGTTAAAGTGCTTGAAAATATTTTTTGAGTGCTTGAAAGGTGCTTATTTTTTGTTGAATAATTTGGCTACATCTTTAAGTTTTATTAAGTGAAATGTTTTCAGAATGATGACTATAACTGAGGATGTTGACTATCAGAAAAAAATAATGCACCAACTGAAAAGTCGCTTGAAAGAGTTGGACAGGATGATGACACATTCTCATGTATATTTAGAGAATATAAAACATCTTACTGAGAAAATTCAGGGTAACTTTTTTATTTATTTGTAATCATTTTGCTTTCAATGATATTTTTATGTCAGCTTTAACTATTTGCTGCACATCGAAGGAAATGTTATTGTTTCATCTGGAATTCGTTTAGATAATTACGAACTACCAATAACTTGTATAAAGTAAATTTAATTAATTAAAATTATTAATTTAATTAATTAAAATTATTAATATAATTAATTAAAATTANAGCTTTTTATCCTGCATACCTAGTTTAGATAATTACGAACTACCAATAACTTGTATAAAGTTAAATTAAATTAATTAAAATTATTAATTTAATTAATTAAAATTATTAATTTAATTAATTAAAATTATTAATATAATTAATTAAATTAAATTAATTTAAACATAAAGATTTCACCTCAGTAAATCACCTCACCTAAATTAAAAATAACTTGTTTGTGATGTTTGACTTTGAATGGTGAATGTAAAGTTATGTAGAGTGGCAGTTTTGGAATAAGTAGTTATGGTAAACAAGGGTTATAATTCAAACAAAGCATTTTTCCCGGTCTTAAAACAATTGATTTTAGTTGTTGATTTTAGTAAATGATGTATAATAGTTGTATTATTTTTTTATTTTGAAATGGCGCTTTTAGATATCAAAGTATTGCTGCTCTAAAATTGAATTTAAAAAGTTGAATGACTATTATTAATAAGTATTTTATTGTTTTCTGTATTTTATTTAAAATATGTTTTGAGTATATGTCTTGTGATTATTATCTTTATATTTGGATTATGATTCAAACTATCAAAAATTAATTATTGTGTGTCTTATCACTTTAGCAAAATCAAACTTACTGCCCTAGTAGAAAAAGTTTTCTTTTTTCATAGAAAACCTGTCTTAAAATATCATATGGTATTTAATTAACTCCAGACAGTATCATTTAAGCACATTCTTTTAAGACTTTTAAGGTAAAATATAATTAATACAACTACTTTAGATTTTCTTAGTGTTAATAAAAAAAAAATAAACATGAAATATTAATGAGATAATATTTTTATTCTGTTATTGCTTTTTTAAAATTCTTAAACAAATTGTGTCTTTTATCTTTTCGAAAAAAATTGACGAAAAAGTTAATAGCATCAATGAAAATATTGGACTAAAAAATTTTTATGTTGTTATACTTTAACTGTCTAACTACAAGAGTTGGAAAGAATCCTTATTACTTTTTAGATTAAATCAGCTTTTTTTTATTATGGTATTTATCAGTTAAATCTCTGACTAAATATTGAAGAAGTTTTAATCAATCTTCAATCCTTTATATTCTATTTTTAAATATAGTACTTGTTAACATTATTTGTCGTAATACAATAGCTATCGAACAAGCCCACTTTTTCAGTTAAACATTTTCAAGATTAAAGTAGTTAGTTTTTCATTAAAACAACAAAAACATTACACCTGTTAGTTGAACATTATTTAAATACTGTGACCAATAGTGTTTATTTGGATTAAAAAATTATTAAAATTCCCTTTTTACCATTAAAGTTAATTTCTTTCAGCATGTGAAAGGTTATAAATCAAATGATCGAAATCAGTGATTTAGATCAGAATTTTAATAACTTTTTTTTTTCAAGTGAAACAAAAATGTGATAAATAAATACTGTTAATTCAAATACTTTCTTTTAAACTTATATGCAGAGCGTGGACTACAAAGTCAAGTATCACTTCACATCTTATCCCGACACACTCCCTATCCTGGTACAAGTGTGCAACGTTATCCTGTTCCTGACAAGTATGTACCATGGGAAGTCATGTGGACTGAGTATGATCCGGTTGCCTATACAAAACCAAGATCTGATTTTGATGTTCTTCTTCAATCATTTGTTGATGAGGATGTCCTTTTGTAAGTAATATATATATGCTATGACTCCTTAATCTCAATACAGTGAAACCTCCGTTAAGCGAACATTCATGGAACCAAAAACTTTGTCCGTTTACGGGAAGGGTACCCTAATAACGAAATTTAACACTGTAAATTGTTTTTATAAAGGAATTATTATCCTTGTGTTAGTTTGTTTAGTTCCCTTTTACAGTGACTTCACCAAGTCAACTGTGTCATTTTAATTGAAAGAATTATTACTAATTTTAAACAAAAATAATACATTAGTTTTGGGATAACCAATTTCTATCAAAACAAAAGATCTTATCCAATGGATTAGCTGCCATATCTTCCGAAAGGATCGAGAGATTCTTTAATTTTAGGAAAATCTCCAGGACTCCCGAAAAATATTCGTATTTTTAGAAACTTCAAAATATCAAGCATTTTTAAATTTTGGATACTGTGGTTAATTATTAGAAATATATTGTGATATCTGCAAAATATACTGCGATGTATTTCTTCTAATAAATTGTTGTAATTAATTTTAGGATAAAAATGCATTTTTTGATTCATCAAAAGGCCGTTTATCAGAAAGAGATTATAATTATTGGCGTCAGTTGGCTCAGGAATATTCAAAGCAAAAAAGTGAAGAAGNCATTTCAACTTGAGGGGTCTCATAACCTGTGTGGTCCAGATGAAAAGATCAAAAGATGCCGATGTCAGAATTATTTCAGGAGTGCAGTACCATTTTCTCTCCTTCCTTTACAAAGATAAAGCAAGGTGACAGGAGAAAGATTGATTTTTCGGTGGTGAAATAGCTTAACAATATTTTTAGTTATGGATAAGGCAAAAAGTTTTATTTACATGCTTTAAAAATGGTGAAAAGTTGAATTTTTTTAGCTTGCAATTTATTTAGAAAAAGTAGTGTCCGGTTTGTAGAGATAAAAAACAAGGTTTCAGGTTCAAAATGACTGTCCGCGTCCAGTTACGGGAGTGTCCACTTTGAGGAGAATGTACGTAATGGTTTATTCATAGAAGATTCCCGGGGAATTAAAAATATGTCCGTAATGAGAGGCGTCCGTTTTGCAGGAGTGTCCATAACAGGAGGTTTCACTGTACACCTATTGTATTTTCATTACTTTTCCAAAGAAATTGACAAAGTTCTCACATAAATACAGTAGCTTTACATCTTTATAAGTAGTGCATCTTTATAATGCTTGAGTTCTTGTAAGTCCTTGTTGTTTCATCCTAGTACTAATTATAATTAGTAATAGGATGTGAAGTGCTAATTATGTGAACAAGTTTCTTACTGAATAATGAATTAAGAAGAAAATGTAAACAAGCAAAATTTATTAAAAGATATGTCCAAGCTTTTTATCCTGCATACCTAAATATGTTAATAAAAAAAATTCTTTTCTATCTTAGTTATATATTTCAATGTATGACTCTCTGTGATTTAAAATGTACCCTTTTCTGCAATGACTTACTAAGCATCATTTATTAATGTCCTCAGAATAATAAGATTGATAACCAGATTAAATCTTTTTCTTGCAGACTTCGAGCCACTCAGGATATAGACGATGAACGACTTCCTGTGTTTCAGTGGAACTGTTTGTCATCAAATCCTGCTGGAATAAGTATTGATCGAACATCTTGGATCTTGGGAGAGAGTGGAACAAACATCGTTTACAAGTTAGATAGTGAGTGTGTACCAAGGTAAGATATTTGCTTCAATTAATAAAATGCATGGTAGGTTAAAAGTATAAAGCTAATCACTAGTAAAAATAAACTAAGGATGTTTCTGACTTAGCATTTCCAATTTATTTTCTTGCCATGGCCTAGAATTTATTCCAATTTTCTCGAATTACATTTATTTATTAATTTGCAAGGCAACTATGGCTTATGTGTAAATTATGACTTTTCTGTCTTTCTCATTATTAAAAATGATATCAAGCTGAAAACAAAATAATCTTATAAAGAGAGCATTTGATATTTAAACAAATAAATAGCAGAAATTGAAGATAACAAGAAAAAAATCTGCATTTAATTTATTTTATTTTTGATTCTTTTAATATTTCTAGTTCAATTACGAACTTTGAATCTTACTCAAAGTAAAAGTGGGTGAAAACTTAAATCCTAAAATCCATAATAAAAATTCTTAGGGTAAAAGCTAATTAAAATATTTCATTAAGTTTACTAAATTAATTCATAAATTTATTATCCTTAAAAAATAGCTATGATTAAAAAATAAATTCTTCAATCAAATATTTGAAAAAAATATTAAATTATTTTTAATTCTGAAATTAATTTGTTGTAAGTAATATCTATTTTTTGAATGAACTACTCCTGAATATGTTTTTGTTATATGTTTCATTTATTTTAGAAATATTTATGGAAGGACTGGCTTAAGAGGCAGAGGAGCGCTGTGTCGTTGGGGACCCAATCATTTTGTTTTAGCTATCATTACTAGGTATGTAGTTTTATAATTTGTTTGCTTTTCCTATTGAATTTTGTAAAATTGTTAAACATTGAATGTTTCTGCTAAATGCAAGTTTATGAAATTTGTCTTCATCATTTATGTTGAAGTTTTAAACTTTGCATAATCATTTTTGTGCATTAAAAAAATTTAACTTTTAATATCTTGTAGAAATTTTTTGAACTGAAACAAAATAAGTAAAATAAAATTAGATTAACATTGTTACTTCCATCATGATTATTATCATGTAATCATTTATTTCAATAAAAATAAAAACTTCGATTATTTATTTATTTTTAAATATTAGTTACTTATAATTGCCAATTTGTAAAGGGTTTTATTTTATATTTTATGTCTAATATCTATTCTTTTAGATTTAAAATGTAATACTTATTAGAATTATCTAAAAGTTGATTGCTTTAAGGATATCTTGTAAAAGCATTTTAATGATTAAAAAATAAAAAATGATATTTATCTTCTGTTTAGTATGAGTTTCTGTTGGTTTCAAACTTTGTATTTTGAAAGTATCAATGTTATAAAAACTATTTTAAATGTTAAAAAAAAATTTCCCACTCAATAGTTGAAAACAAAGTAATTTAAAATTTCATTGCTTGGCTAACAAAATATGATGATCATGTTTGTCATTGTTAGAAGTATATTTTCAATAAAATTGTTTTTTGTTTAATATATTATACCTTAAGAGTAGAAAATATTCAATAAGTGTAAGTACTGCTGATTTTAATTCATATATCTGAAAGTATTTTTTCATATGAATGTTTTCATTTCTCTAAACTATAATTGGAGTCAGTTGATTCGCATTTGTTTCCTTTGGTATTGCATAGATATTTAATTCATTTGAAATAGTTAGAAAAGTTTTTTTTTGTGTGTGCAGTTGTCTTATTTGCTAATTGTTTATGCATATTGTGATTGCTTACTATAGTATTTTTAATAATGCAGAACCAAGTTTAATTTTTTTATTATGTAGTCTGATATCAGTGACAAATTTTGTGTTCTGGTAATGTATTGTAGATAAACTATATTGAGCTGCCAGTTTTCTGTACGTTATTTAAAATCATATAAAACTAAACATTTCGTATTATCTATTCAACGTATTATTATTATATCATTATGCATTAAGTTCTTAATAATTATACGAAAAATACAACAACTTGAGGATACCTATATAAAAAACCTAGTGTAGCTTTTTGAAGAAAAAAAAAACTACATTAACTTTGAATAAATATATCAAAGCATCTAATTATGAACATGTGAGTGAAATATATATTAATTTACTTTTGAAATCAGATTGATGTCAGTTAATTTAGAGACTAAAAATAGAGTTAATGCAATATGTAAAAAGATTCTAATACAACATGTAAACTTTCATTTAAATATACCAACTAACAACCCCTAAAATTTTTAGACAAATTTCCAAGGTACCACATATAACAAAAAATACTACTATAGTTAGAGTTGCTAATGTTAGTATTATAAAATATGAGTATTTAAATTTATATGAAAATAAACTAATGCTAATAAAAAAATATAGTATATGTAATATATTATTTTTTTCCTTCTGAAGAAATCTGTAATTGACGATTGTTTTGACACACGTTTAACAGAAAATTACCCTATTTCATAACTTGCCACATTCTAAATGTTGTGTGAGTGAAATGTGTCAAAAAGGAGTAAAAACACCTTTGCTACTACATAAATGCTAACACGATGTATTTTATTTTAAAACCCTTTGTTCTATCTAGTCTTATTTTTGTTTGACTTTTTCTTGTTAATAAAACTTAAAGCATCTTTGTTAATAATACTTAAAACTTATATTTATACTTTAAATGAAATATAATGTACTTGATTTTTTTTAGACTAATTAATTGTATGTTTATTTTTTTTCTCACCAAAATAAAAAAAACTTTGATATATAAAATTTAATTTGAGCATGTCTTTTTTTATAGACTGTTTAGCTGGGCATGCAAAAAATGTTAGATTTTTTTTTCAACTCTTATACAAATTATAAGTAAAAGATACTTGTTATTATATGAAATATATATTTGTTATATTTTATTTGCACAAGATAAATTCAACTATTATTTATTTCATTTAAGTATTTATCTCAATTCTTTATTTTATTTCCTTTATGGATCTCAACTAAACTTCCCTATATTGATTTCTTTATATTGTGTAGAATATATTAAGTTAAAATTTTTGTTTAGGTGGCAAAAAAGTGGAGGAAGAGGATTAGAATTTGTTGTCATGAGGGGAGAGAAAAGAGGACAGATTTCACTTCCTGGAGTAAGTAGAATTATTTTAACTGAATTACTGACTTAAAATTTCTTAGCTTTATGGTATAACTTTGATTCAGCTACTTTCAATTTTATATGTTCCTTATTTTCTTGTAATAAAAAAATAAGAGGTTTACTTAAACACTAATATACGGTATTAGTATAATTGGTTACAACATGCCAATTAATATAAAGTTGCTTTGACAGTGACAGCTGCTTTTGATTTGTGATATTTATAAAATTTGATTTTTGATTAAATATTTATCAATATTTCCTCTGTTTTAGGGATTTGTACCAGGTGAACAACGATACGTTATACTGCAATCTCTTTTCAAACAAAAAGAAACCAACGCCCCGATATGGAAATCCCATGAAGATATGCTGGAGGTATTTTTCATTTCTATTATTATAAACATTTCATTTTCCTTTTTCACTATATTTTTGTATGTTTTGTTTGAAAGGATATACACAAAAAATATTTCAAGAACCTGGGATGGTATTTGGAGCCCTGATACAACTAAAATGATAAATGACAAATTATAATAAATAAAAAAATACATGAAACAAGTCTTCATAATTTTTTTAGAAGAGAAATTATTTATTATTATTATTTGGCGGGGGGAGGGATTAGAAAATTGGAAATTTGATTAATAATAGATAAAAACTAATATTTTAAACAGTTCTTATCTGCAAATAAAAAATAGTTTTCTTTACTCTTATGGCACTCCTATATTTTTATTACATATTTTTTCAAAATCATGTTTAATTTGATAGTCTTTTTTCAGCAGCAGGAATAAGATTCTTTCAACTCTTGGTAGTGTTTTGAACTTCATTTTATGCTTTTTTCAAATTTATTACTAAAGTAAAGCAGATCTAAAGTAAAGTTTATTACTTTTTTTTTGTAATCATATCATATCATAGAATTTCTATCATATCATATCATAGTAAAGCAGTTCTAAAGTAAAGTTTATTCCTCTTTTTTTTGTAATCATATCATATCATAGAATTTCTAAATGCTGAATTGAGCGATCACTCACTAAATTACTTATGTACAAAGGAGCATATTCACCAAGTTTTTGTTTTGAGATTATTAAAACTTTATTACAAATTTTAATTGAATATTTTCGTTTTATAAAATTTTCTGCTCTTAAATCTCAAAATATTTTGTTAAGTCCTCCATTAATAAAATTATATTGTTAAAACTTTTTAGTAAAAGTAATTCTGAAAATAAAAATAATGTATATTATTCTTTTGCAGTAAAATTTGTCTTTATTGTACTTTAAGTAGAACAAATTATACATTTATAATTTTGATTTTTGCAATTTTTTTAGTTGAGATATTTATACTGTTCAAAAAAATATCTTTATTTTTTTGAAAAATGTTGCCCTCATTTTTTCTTGAGCCCTCTATAAGACTTGACAGTGGGACTATGTTTTCCTCAATATAAAGTAGATAAAACATTCTTATTTGGAATTATTTAGTTAATTGACATTCTAAGCTATAGCTTCATTTCAAATTTGCTTTGATAACCATTTTTATTACATTGCATTTAGATGAAAAAAGTAGATAAAAAATAAAATATACTAACATGGGAAATAATTTTGTTTCATTTCAAATTTGTTTAGATAACTATTTTTATTATACTGCATTTAAATGAAAAAAAAAATAGATAAAAGTAGAATATGTGTGAATTGGGAAAAACATTAATACAAGGAAATAATTTTGCTTCACTTCAAATTTGTTTTGATAACCATTTTTATTGCACTGCATTTAGATGAAAAAAATAAATAAAAGTAAAATATTTGTGAAAAAGGAAATAATGAATATATTTTAACTAGTTACATTAAAAATTATCTTCCACAGGTTAGGGAAAACAGGAAAAACCTGGAATTGTCAGGGAACAATAATCATTTATTGAGATTTTAGTTAAAAAAAATAACATCTATTACAATTATTCGTCCCAAAAATTCCACATTTCAATAAAACCTTTTATGATATGGATCCCCATTTGATGGTATTTTGTTGCTCACAAAATTTTATCTTTGACATTAAAATTTTAAAAAGTAGTGTTTTTTTCCAATAAAAAATTGCATTATATAAATAAAATATGATCTGGAATGTGTTGAAATTTTCCTAAAATGTCTGGAATCAAGGAATTTTGTTTCTGCAATTAAGGTGATACCCTGTAAAATATTTAACAAAACTTAGTTTGCCTTAATTAATTTTAAATAATTAATATTTTTAATATGTTTAAGAAGAAAAAGTGAAATTTTTATTGCAGTTCTTCAGGAATTGCTGTGAGACACTTCAAGAAGATGAGGAAGTCCCCACTGAAGTCAAATGTGAAATGGTCAAAAGAGGTTACATGGATGATCCATGGAATACTGACCAGGCATGGCGTGAAGTGGAATTATGGCACATTCATTATGGAGGAAATGAAACCTTATCTCAATATTTCCAAGTAACTAAATCTATCTAAATTATTGCTTGAACGTTTATGTCCTAATATAGTTTTCTAACATTTTATAAACAAATTATTGGGTTCACAGAGTTGCAAACTATTACAATTCATTTGCAGTTATCATGACTTTATAAGCAGGATTAGTCTTATGATTGAGTAATTAAAATTACAATCTTTCCAAAATAATCTACTTGAAATAATTTTTTTTCTGACTGTCAAGAGCTATAATATTTATTGAGATTAAATGTTAAATACTACTTTTTTCTAGTTTAACATTTGTTGATGAGAAAATGTCTTGGAAAAAAAACTTTTATTACATAAATATATTTTAAATATAGACTATTATGTATTAATAAAAGATCTGATAGAAACTCTATAGTTGTAAAGCTACTCTTAAAAAGTTATTCTAGCAACAGACAAATAGTTTTGAAGCACTCTAAAAAATTATTGGATTTTAGAAGTTTGTCATACAATAATTGCTGATTCCAAACACAGTTTTGTGTACAATATGATTACTTTCTTGCACAGTTTATTGCTTTACAAGTTTTTTTCAATGACGGAACTGCACTCTGGGGTTTCATAGAAATTTTACTTTGAAAAAAAAACAAAAAAAAAACGATAATTTGAGGATTATTTGATGTTGTATTTATTGTTATTAAAGATTCTGATTTTATTTATTTTGCCATTCTTCTTACAGCAATCTCTATCTTGGAGACTCATAACTGAAGATGTTTTCATCAAGCTGCCCTCAGGTCAAGCTGTGCTTCTTCAAGATATTACCCAAAGACTGCAACCCATCATTTTTTAACAAATTGCAAAATCTAAAATTGTAATTGTGTGCTACTAGACTTTTAAGCTGACATTTTTTGGAGTCATAATTCACAAAAGCTATTGAGCCAAGCTCAAATAATTTTAGGGGTTTTAAAAAATTAATAAATGTAAAAATATTTATTGTAGATATTTTAGTTTATATATCTTTTACACTGATTGAAATATCCATCTTTTTTTCGAATGTCATCGACATTTTGCCATCTCCCAGGCATATTGGAAAGTCTTCAGTTTTTTTTTTTTTTTTTTTTAATCAGCTTATATGCCTTTAAACTAATAAAGAAATAATCAGGCTGAATTTGCTCAGGCTTATTGCAATAAGGCTATTTACTATATGCCTGCACTACTTTGGACTTAATTGCAAATTATCTAAAATAAATCCAGCTAATCTAGCATTAAATGATATTTTTTTTTATGATTTATGTAAAGATATGTAGGCTTCCAAGAAAAAGCCTAAAATTGATCAGACTGATAAAAAAAAATGCTGGAAACTTTTTCCTACTAACATGCCAAATTATAAAACTATGTAGGCTATATAAAAAGAGCTTGACCATCCAATAAGATTATGATATAGTATATATCATTATATCGCCAAATAGATAATCCGGTTTTTTGCAAATTGCCACCACTATTTCTTAGGCCTTGTATTTTGCATTGCAATTTGCAAAGAGCTAAATTTTCCAATTAGCATATGATAATATGACTCATATAACTGCTGTTCTGAAATTACTTTTTTTTTTCATATAAAATCTTTGCTAAAAATCTAATTTGAAAGTATTGACATCAAAGATTTAAAATTAGTATTGCTGTGAGAAAAAAAAACATTATGTAACTCTAAAGAATCAATCAAAATCTAGTTTACTTGTCAAGTGAGACATGAATGAAAGGTAAACCTTCTGTTAGAAATTGTTTTTCAGCTTCTACTACCTTATATACTACTTTTTGAAACACTCCTTTGCTGTGATCTGTCTCAATGTTGATTGGTCAGATGTCTCAATGTTGATTTTCCTCAGATTACTGATGAGTATTTTTTTTAAATATATTTTTATAAGGATTTCTAATATACAGTGAAAGGAGTACAGCATATTGCGAGAAGTGTGCACTATCATGTTAAGATTTCAAGTTGCTTTTAAAATGCTAAAATCATTTGTTCTTAACGAGCTGAAAATTACTAGCCTCTCGTTATTGAATCAGTTTCTTTTAGAGTGAAATGCATTTTTCTATTCTATAAGGAAGAAATTAAATGAAAAAGCGCAAAATATATGACATTTTTATTCTTTTACTGTATCGGTACAGATAAATGAAAAATGAGCATTTCATCTTAATGTTTAGAAAGTTACGTTTGGCTGACCAACATCTAAGTTATCTCTTTTCTGTCAAAATGAAAATTCTTCTATGTTAAAAAATCCTACTACATGCTTAAAAAATATGACTTTTGTTGATCACTTATTTACCATGCTGCCCTATTTCCCTTCTTCAGAGCTCTTTATTGAAATCAATATTCAGTGTCATCTATGAGATCAAGAACAAAAAAAAAAAATTTTTTTTTTTGATAATTTTTCATGTTTCTTTAATTGATCTTCGCCAGAATTGGTGCAGAGGTTTGCTCGATCACAGGGAGAGGTTTTGATGGTCTCTCTTAAAGGTTTTTTTCAGCATAATGTCTATGGAAAAAAATTCTGTGTTTCCCGAAAATGGTCGTAAATAGAGGTGGACTTTTCTGGAGATTTCACTGTATTATATTTTTTAAGATATGAAGCATATTATCTTACCAATTTCTTCATATGTAATCTGAATATTTTTCAATGTTTTAAATCCAAACCTTAAAAAATAATCTGCAAAAGATCATTGATAACTGCTTTTCACTGGTATCAAATTTAAACTCCTGTTTTAGATATAGATAATTGTTAACTGTCCTGAATCGTTGGCATAGAAGTTTACTTTTGTAAAGCTGCGATTTTTAATTAATTTTATATCTGAACATTTGCCTTTTCAGTATTATTTTTCTTCTTGATTTATTTCCATTGATTTGGTTTGTAAATATTTTCCGTTAGTGCCTGTCATTCAAAATCTTCATGTTCATTATTTTCTAGCATATGTATTTATATCATTGTATTTTATCATCACATAAATAAATTATACTATGTACTTTTATATTATTATAATAATAAATTGCCTTATTTTTTTTCTCTGCTAATTTTGTGTGACTTTGTTTTATTCACAAAACGCTCTAATCAACACTTTTAAAACCACTCAAATAACCTCATTTTAAAATTTATTTTGGTTTGTTAATTCTGCAAATCCAAAAGAGCAATTTCCAATCGAAAATATATTTTACAACATCTTTCTTGTATTATACAGTTTAAAAGCTGATTTTTTTCACATTCACTAAAATAATTTATGTTTTTTCCACTAAGGTGCCCCTGTTTCATTTGCACAATGCATAAAATTAGCTTCAAATTTAATGACTGAAGTTTTCAACTAGGAACTATCCTTATCTGTGTTCATTGATTTGTTCAGAGACTATTTACAAAATTGAATAAAACAGGCATTTATATTTTTTGTAGTTGATTGATTTGGAGTTTTGGCTATAGGGTAGTGACTGAAATATTGTCCTAATAGTTTAGTCAGGAGTAAGGTCAAAGATATAGCAAAATCGACCGCTTTTCTGGCTAAACTGTCGGGATTATATTTTCCAGAATTAACTTGCAACCATATTTTTAGTGCCAATTGATTATAAAAGGTATACTAATTCTGAAAAAGTAAATTTTTTCTTTACGATTATGTTCCTTAATCTTTTGTCTGTATATCATCTTCACGAATGATTGGGAGTGCAATTTAGTACAATAAATGTAAGGAAAAATATTTTTTAGGAGTTTTAGTAATCAAAATTATTTTGAAAATTTTTTTTTTATTACGACAGCAAATCCATTAAAAATTCTGATAGTTTCAAATAAGTCTTTAAAAATTTGTTGTGGTAAATAATGATAGTCCAAAACAAGACCATCCATGCATTTTTAACATTAACACACACTGTAAGAATCTTTATGCTTTACCAAGTTTTGTTCCAAATAGGAATTAATAGAACTGTCTTAATTATTTTTGGAAGTAAATTAATAAAATTATATTCGTTTCGAATCTGTATTTGCTAACCTAAAAATGCAGTAGATTTTATAAAATTATCATACTTAGATTTTCAAACATTCAGAAATGTTTAGAATCAATTAAGAAAAAACAAATTCAATAACTGTGTTACTAAAAATTAAAATTGACCACAGTATTCTGTTTGCAATGAGTTTGTGTAATGTAAATGTAATATTAAAAACTAGTATTAATACTATATTCTTAAATACAAATTTTCTCCTTTAATCCACGTTTTAGGATTTTTTTTAGACTTATTCAGCTTTTTTGTTTTTTAAACTGACACGTCTGCTAGGGGAGATTTGTGCATCGGTATCCACAACAAGTAATCAATTTTTGACGACTTCTGATAATTAATTAGAAAGAACTTATACCTCAAACATCTAAAAATAATATATGTTATTGTAAAAAATTATCAGCTAAAAAACAAAATGTATGGAAAACAGAAAAAGTGTACGTTTCACTATTTTTAAAAATTGTATATTCTTGTACAATATATAAAAATTACTATTTTGAAATTAAATGACATTCTTGTACCATATAAAGAGTCAATTTTGATATCTTGTACCATATATCAGGGGTCTGTCCAGACATTTTGTGAAAGGTCCGTTTTTTGTGAAATTGTGAAAAAATTACTCACATTCTTTCAACCAGAGTCCGCTTTTATGAATTTGTGCATTGTTGTTATTGCAAAAAAAAACTTTTTCGAGGAGTTTTTAAATTGTTAAGACATACAAGATTATGCTCAACACTGCAAAATTATAATTAAAAAAATTAAATTTTAAAAAATAAACAATAATTGCTTCTAAATTAGGGATGCAACATACAAATATTTGGTATTTAGCCTATACTGCTGAACGCAGAACATTAATTTCGGACGAATAATGGAAGAATCGTCTGCCGAAGACAAAACTTAATTCGTTTGCATCTATCTTTCTTGTTTTCTGCCCTGGAAGGGGTTTATTCGATTAACAAAATAATAATGAAGATAAACAAATTTGTGAAGGGTCCGATTAAAAGAAAAATCATTTTGTGAAGGGTCCGTTTTTAAGTTAAAATATTTTGTGAAGAGTCCGTTTTTTTGAAAAGATATTTTGTGAAGGGTCCGTTAACGGACCCAAATTTCTTCTAAACAGACCCTTGGATATTCAATGACTTCTATATCTTTGAATTGTGACCCTTCAATAGTATTCATAATTTGACACTTTCGAATCGATTTACTTAAATTTTAAAAAAAAGTATTTTAATTTAAACATTCTCTGAGTAGTATAAGTGTGTATGAGTTTATATACAGAACAACAGCTTTTGACAAACACTTAAAAGAAATAAGTGAGTAAGAAATAAATCTTGTTACCAATATTAATATTACACAAGGGAAAAAAAATCATTAACACAATAAAAAAACAGAACTGCCATGAAAGTAATCAAATGAGGTGAAAATTATCAAGAAATTGAGCCTTATTACTTTATATCACAGCAACAGTGGTTTATAGAAGTGTAATGACTAAGAGAGGCAAGTAATAATACAATTTTATTTTTAAATTTTAGATTTACATTAATAAAATCAGAATTTTAAACTTAGTTTTAAGTAAATTTATGGTGAAATTCTCTTGGAGTAAAAAAATTTATAAGTTGTTAATAATATAAACAAAGAAGAATTCTTTAACCAATATATTTAAATGTTAATGACCTAAAACTTCATTATTAAGTTTCTTTGTAGGTAGGTCTTTTAATGTTGCTCATTAGACCTGCACAATGGGCTGTTAGCGCCGGTCTGAGAAACATCCCCGAGGGTGAAACGCCATCACAATTTTGATCCTCTGAAGAGGGGATAGCTCCTCCGCTTTGGTAGCCCGGCGACCTGCGTGCAAAATCGATCACTTTACGGTAGAACAGTTTAACGAGGACAGATACTGTGCACCCTCCGTCCCTATGGAGGCTAATCAAAATGGGCACCCGCCCGCTTACTGACTGCAGCCAGTTATCTGAGAACCGTGTCTTTACGATGAGTCCACTGCGGGACTAGTTTCATAATCAATCAATCATAGTTTCAATTTAAAATCATAGTTTATTCTTCATAAAATATTTTGCTTGAGCAAAATATTTATCTGCTAAAAAATTTAATTATCCGATAATAAAAATAGATTTAAGTTTTATTGGTTCAGTGTACGTCTCTTTGGAGGATACCTGGTGGTAAAACTAACAATATATTATATGAATTGTCAGTGGCGTAGTTTTCATATATGTTTGAAAGGGCTTTATCTCCTTGTGAAATTATATATATATCTACTCACTTTTTTCTACTAAATGTTTAAATTGCAATAAATCAATAATAATTTTTTATGGAATAGTTATGTATAATTTCCAAGTAATGTATAATTTTGGAGGGGGTTTTGTCCCCAAAACTAAGCTATGGTATATTGTTATATATATTATATTGCAATAGATATTATAGGAAAAGCACCACTATGAAAATATTCAAAGAAAGTAAGGAAGTTAAAAATGCATGAAAACTGGGTTTAAAATTAACTATGGTTTGTCGAAAGATCATCACAAAATAATTATTAATGATTTTCTCGGCCAGCAATTAATGTAAAGAAATAGTGTGCAGCTTTTGTTTTTTGTTTGGTCAGTGTTTTTTTCTCCACAAAATAGCATATTCTAACACTATTGTTACTAAACATATTCTCTGCACTGTAAATTTTTATTTAAATTATTACTTTGACTTTCTTTTAAAAATAAAAGTCTAATAGAGAGGAGTAAACAGACTAGTGAAAATGTGTTCTGACTATTTATATCTTCAAGTTATTGGTCTTTGGAACAGTGGCTAAATTATTCTTAATTTCTACCATTGCATGAAGGTTAATTAAAAAAATAAAGCATCACATGAAAATTAATTTAAATAAAATTCCAATCAATACAATTTTCTTTCCTTTAAGAAAATATTTCTTTGCTTCATTTTATTGCCGCTTTACAAGAATAAGCTGGAAGCTTTATTCTATTCTACCTTTTAAAAGCATAATTTAGTTTCAAATATTTCTTTAACTTAATAAGATGAAAAATATTTCATAATATCACATAAAATAAGATTTATTATTTTCTGAAGTCATTCAGCCAATGACGGTAAGCAAACAGTAACCCTGGTAACAAAATCTGAAACGGTCATGGTTAAGATTAAGATAAGAAAATATTTGCAAAAAATATTTTTTTTATTTTATTAAGTAACTTTGAAATTTGAAGTATAGAAAAGTAAAGTATCTTATTTTTAATATTTTAGAATCATTCAGGAATATTCCAATCAAATTTTTTCGAAACTTCGCATTTTACATTTAAAATTTTGCGGTTGAGCTTAAATTATTTATTTTTAGTTTAAGACATTAAGACTGGCAATACCTTTGCAGGGTCGTCTAGAAGAAATTTGTTTTCTTTTTCATTTCCCTCACTCACCACTCGTCCGTAAATATTTGCAGTTGGTGGTTGTATTTAAAATTGCTTCTTTTAGCTATCGCGATATGTAATAAAGTTTTAAATTCTCTTTAAACTTATTGTTAAACTGAAAATCTTCGCATCGTTTCTTCTTCTTTAAGAGTATGTATAAAATTAAAGTTTCCTGTTTAAATAATATTCGATTAAAAAGATTGTTTCTTATAAAAGATACTGACTAAATTTCAATATCTATTAGATTATATGTTTTTAAAATTATAATCGAATTTATCTTCAACTTGTACTATTTCTTGCATTATTCACATGGAGCAAAAATTACCTCTGTTTAACTTTTTGCTTTGGTAAAAAAAATTCTGAAAAATTTAAAATAAAAATTTTTAAGCTTATTTTATTTTCCCTATCTAATATTTACTTAACATTATAGTTTGTTTATTTGAAACTTTCTTCACATTTCTAGCTAAACTATGAATAGTTTTTACTTCAGAACTAGATCTAAGTTTTGGGAATAATAATAAATAAATTCATGCATCTAAAAGGAATCTTCCAAATCGTCTGTTTGCCTTTGCTGCAATCGCAATGTCTCCTAAGAGTTTTTAAACTTGAAAGTAAATTTTTAAGAAAAATATTTAATGTTTTTTTCCCTGGGAGGGGGATCAGCTTATACTCTTTGAGGGAAGTTTTTTTGTATCATGCTTTGCAGCAGACTAATCGCCAAGTCTTGTCGTGTTCCAGGCAGCAGCCCGTTAGGAAACAACAAACAAACAAACAAAAAATCACCGAAGCAGTCTAACTCATAGCCACATCTGCGCAAATCTCTCCATTTTTTAAAAAAAAAATGAATTGCAAATATGAAATCTATTTTTTCTTTTGGCAATAGTAGTTGCTAGTAGTAGATGATATGGAAATGTCCCTTTCGTTGAGATTGCACTTTATGGGATGTTTTTTCTTGGTTTTTTGCATGTCACAGTCGGGAATTTTGCAAATTTTGGCATTTGTTTTGGCTTCAGATTTTAACATAGAAGTTGTCCTTTAATTGTACATGAAAATTTACAAGTTACGAATATTTCTGTATTTATAGTTGATCATGCAAACTACCGTGGTCCAAAGGCATGTTTCTTTCAAAAAATTAGGAAAAAAAGTATGTAGTATTTGCCTTGTGTGGTTACAATTTATACTACCCTTTGAATCTGACCCTATCTGTAGTGGTTTTTTATTTATTTATTTTTTTTAAAATTTTTTTTGCATTATTATCAGTTTTTTTTTTTTGACGAGATTTTTTAAAAAGTTTTTAATACAGCATAATTGTAACTATAATTATTTTTATTTTCCATTTTAAAAATGTGAAATTTAATACCTGTTGAAGGAATTTTATGTAGTTTTGCATCTAGATCCTCAGGTCTTAGTATTAATCTGGCCATGCAAAGTTTACGTTGGGCTGTTTCGTATCAAAAACTATTTATTTTAATTTTAAAATCAGTGTTATGGCAATACTAAAATTTAATGTGAGTGTTACTATGATTGCCACTTTTTCTTTTATTTGTGTTTCAATATCATTTCAGAATGACATTTATAGAATTTTCCTGTTTTTCAGAAAAATATTAGTTATATCTTACTTCATAAAAAATTTTTAAGCGTTTTTTTTTTTTTTCTGCTCAAGCTTATAGAAATCTTTGCATATTCAGATTCTTTTTGTTTAAATATTATTCATATAATATTCAAATTATAAAGTTTTTTTTTTAATTATTTGGAAATTGTTTGTGAAGATTTTTGAAAAGATTGAGTGAATATTATATAACAACTAGAGTATATATATAAAAAAATTGAGCGTGTTAGTGTGTAACTACTACATTAATAAAGCAATCAACAAATGATATCTGGAATCAAACATTAAAAAGACAAAACGTATAGTGTTAAACTTTTATTGAACCTCTCAGAAAGTTTGTGGGTTTCTTATAGAAAATTTCCGCTCTTTTGATCTTGAATGCATTTCTTGACGTAATAAAAAATTTGTATACAGTGGAACCTCCAGGAAAGACTATCTGTGTTGTGACCACCTCTATTTACGACCACTTTTGGGAAGCACAGAATTTTTTCCATTGACTTTGTATTGAAGAAAACTTTTAAAAAAGACAATCGAGACATCTTCTACCGACCGGACAAACCTCTGCGGACAAGGTCAATAAGGAAACACGTAAAATATTGAAATAAAAATTTTAACTAAAGATGTATAAGTGGATTTAAAATATTTGTGAGTGGTTCTTATTTAGAGAGCTCTTTTTGATGATCTCTGAAAGAGATTGACAACCTCATATTACAGTCAGAGTACACTAAAGACAATGCTATCAATCAGGGTTGGCAAGTTTTTGACACATGACGGTTTTTACCGGTTTATACCATGGTTTTTATCGTCATGTCAAAAACCCATAGTTTTGGTAAAACTGTATTTTTATTTGAGTTTAACTGCTTATAATTAATTTAAAACTAATTCATTTTTGGGCAATGAAATTAGAAAAAAAGTTGTTAAAAGATATTTAGGGACAGATTCTTGCATTTTCCCAACATGATTATATCAAAACATACTATTTGAAGTAAAATATTAGGATACTAAACAAAATTTTCAACATTTCCAAGCATCATTTTGTTTCGCATATCACATTACTGAAGAATGTCAAGTCACTCTTGACTTAGAATTTGTTAGTAATTACAAGTTTTGAAAGTTTTGTTTAGCTTATTTCTAATATTTAAGAAATGCCAAATTTTAAATTCTTCTTTTTAGTTCTTGAATTTATTAATAGTTCCAAGCTTTTTTGTTTGTTTGTTTATTTCTAACAATTAAGAAGTGCAAAATTTTGAATCCTTTGCATATCAAGCTATAATGATAAAAGTAAGCATCACTATTTTCAATAAGTATATTACAATATTTCGATAAGAATACATGTATATAGTTGCAAAATCAATAGCAATCATTTAAAACATTCATTTATAAAGGCAATTATGTGAAAATAATATATTGTCCGCTATATGCCATAAATTAAAGAAAACAGACGGTTTTTACCACTGTCAAGTCAAAAACCAGTTTTTGACGGCAAAATCTCAACCCTACTATCAATGATTTTGTTTTAAGAGTTGAAAGTTAAATTCAAAGAAGAAAAAAAAGGTATTTTAGAAAAACTAAGCAACTTAAGCAGACCTTTTATTTTTTAAAGTAAACTAATTTTTATGATATAAAAAATTAAATGCAAACTTGTACAAAAACCATAATTGTTAATTTATTTTAAATAGTTCTATCATTCATAACTGATAAATTTGTTTTTAAATTTAATTATATCAGTAGGGGTCATTATTATTGGGGGTAGATTTTATTCATTGATTCGGTTTTCATGACACCAACCGAGTGGCATTTCCAATCCCAGAAAATGACACTGAGTAAAATTAAAATCACTTGCAAAAAATCACGTAACTTTGATAACATTTTGAAGTCAATGATGGTAAGAATGACCATCCTGCATTAACGGCCATTTTATTGTGGAACAGAGAGTGATCGCTCTGAAGAGGTTTCACAGTGTTTGCATTAATTCCATTATGAATCTATGTGGTTGTTTTTGGATCATTTGTTTTCAGAAGCTGTTTGGTGTTTTTTTTTTTTTTTTTTTTTTTTTTTTTTTTTTTTTTTTTTTTTTTTTAAATTCTAATATTTTAAGATAATTTTATTATGTAAATATCGAATGTAAATATCTTCATGTAAATGTCGATTTGAGTAATTACTTTTTGACACATGCGATGATCAAAAAATATGATTGATGATTATGGCAAATCAGCCATATCTATACTTGCTGTTTGTTAAGTCACGGGATGACATCGTAAAAGTTTGATGTCAGGTGTTCATCCGGATATGGTAACAAACCACGCTCGTGAGTCAATGTTTCCCTTATGGGAATAGCCTGTTACTATTCAACTCTTCACCTATTTGTACAATAATTTACGAAAGATGCTCAGTAGCTTGATATTGGTCGATAACGCCGAATCTGGATGATTAAAAGGCCGAAACTTCAGAACATTCTCTCTCCCTTTGTTTGTTAAAACTACTATTATGTAAGATTCTTTAGGAGGGCGAGTCTGTGCTTGGTTAGTAATTATTAGTATATTAACTTCTTCATCTAATCATTTGTAGTTTAATTCATGTTTCTTAGTCATTGTGAAACAATATTTATTTCTGTAAGAGCTTTGTTTCTTGAATTCAGCCACTTCATAAATCACTATTTATTGATTGATTATTGTCAGGGTAAGAAGACTCATACCCATCCAACAGGGCTCATCTCTAACCAGTACCTAGCCATGTCATAATTTTCGGAGCTCTTGTATACCATTTTTTGTTTTCTGTTTTGTCTATAATTTTAAATAAAAATTTTCAAACACAAAATCATGCATTGAAGCTCAAATTTTGCTAACATGTTCATTAACAAATGTTTTTTTTTTGTTTTTGTTTTTTTTATTCAGCTCCCTGGAATAGCACTCACTTATTCTTTAAATTTTTATAGCTATTTGACTATATCTTTTTCATAAATTGGTCCTCATAATCTACAAAATAAGGTAAAGGAGCCGAAATAGCTCAGGGGGTAGAGCGTTCACTTTCCAATGAGGGGAACCGGGTTCGAATCCCGGCGATGGTTGGTCGCTACGAATTCCGCATCCAGCTTGCACCGATCACAGTGCTGACATGAAATATACTCGGTGGTAGGCGGGTCATGGGTTTAGAGTCCCCCGACCCATAAGAGTTTTCGAGAGACAGTGTTTTGTAAAGGGTCCATTTTAATAATGAAAGTTTTTGTTTTAGCGAAATAAATTTCTTATAAAATGACTCCTGGTTTCAAGATATATATTGCTACCTGAGTAATTGTGTTAAAGTAATACTAATGCATGTAGAATAAAAGTGTATATCCACCAACAACAACAATTAAAAACAGTTCAAAATAAACAAATCACATATGTATTATCACACTTTTACTTTCAAAAAGACAAAATAAGTTATGTTGGCATTAAGCAGGCGTTTACTATTAACTTGCAATTTGAAAAACATTTTTCTGTAAAATAATTTAAGTTGCCCATTTAATAATAATAAAGCAAATATATAACAAAAGCAATCT